GCGCACAGCAGAAGAATGAACTGAGACCTGTGCACTCAGGGGCAGGGACTGAGATCACGGATTTGCAAATCCCATTCGGAGTCCGACTCCAGATCTAGAGCCGGGTCCAGACCCGGGCGTAAATCGGAAGAGAAAACTGAAACCTGTGCACTCAGGGGCGGGGATTGGGATTACGGATTCGGATACAGTGGAGGCCAGTCCATAAGAAACCTTCCACAAGAAACCCAACCCTGAGGCCCAAGGACGTCCATTGATTTTCTGTGTGGGAACGTCACGCTCTCCATCGCAAAACCATCAAACGCCAAGAAACCCAGGGCACCCTGGAGGCAAGCAGGGTGCTTCTTGGCATGGGCCTCCATTGTACACCAGAAGAGACAGCTGAAACATGTGCACTCAGTGGTGGGGATTGGGATCACGGATCCAGATCCAGATCCGGATCCAGGTCCGGATCCGTGCGTACATCAGATAATCAGCTCAGGAACGGTCAGAAATAGAGACAAATAGTCTGGGGACGACTCTTCTGATATTTTTTTGACAATTTGGGAATGTTGTTTTAGTGTCTGTTGCTTCTCGTCCGAGGTCCCCCTGGAGGAGGGCGTGCCCGACCCAAACTCAGGGGCGGCGGTTGGGGCCACGGATTTACATGACCCCTGGCCGGGATCCAACTCTTTGGGCGTGGCTTAATGGGGGGGTCACAAATGGGGGGGTCAGAAAAGGTCCCCTTTCGTGCCCCTTTCGGGCCCCTCCAGAGCCCCAGGGGGCTCGTTTAGGTACCGTTTGGGTACCTTTTCGGACCACACTCGCCACCCCCCCATTTATGACCCCCCCATTACGCGGCGCCCAAGATTTACATGACCCCTGGCCGGGATCCAACTCTGGATCCGGGTCCGGGCCCGGGCGTGCATCAAATACAAAATGCTGAGACCCGTGCGCTCATGGGACGGGGATCGGGCCGCAACGGTCCTCCAGGGATCCTCCTGGAATCCTCAAGAATCCCCAGGAACTCTAGGAATCTCAGGAATCTTCAGGAATCCTCGGGAAGCTTCGGGAATCCTGGAAGAATCCGATTGGAACCCGATTGGAATCTTACTGGCCGGTTGGGATCCTATTGTGAACTTGGTGGGATGCCTCACTGAAGGCTCTGGGGGCGGGGCATCACTTCCCGGCTTCCCGGGGCGGAAAGTGATGTAGTTTCGCCGAAATGAGGAGGAGGGCGATAATTGCAAGTCGCGGTTACTTGGGAATCACGCTATCGCTCGAGAGTTCCTCGCGATCCATGCGCGACTGACGCTTCAGCAACCCGCCCGCTCGACCCCACCTTCTGGGCCCGCCCGCCCGACCCGCCCCGCCCGACTGGTTCTGCCGCTTGCGTGTCTCCTTCCTGCGAATCTCTGTCGCGTCGCGTTCCACTCTTCTCTCTCCCGCTTGTCCCGTCCCTCCTCCATTCAACGACAGTGGCTGATCGCAACCACTTTGGGCCAACCGTCGACCACTTCGGACTGATCACAATCGGTTGCGATCGGACCGAAGCGGTCGCGATGCTTTGGGGAAGCTGTAATATTTATTGCTTTGATGAGAATACTGTTTCGATTAAGCGAAGGCTCTCAGGAGGGCGTCTGGATGCAGTGAGTTCTCGTAGAACCCCCAGAGAAATTTCGGAAACAAGTGCAGTCGGGCCGATCACCGACGGTTGGCGACACCCGCAGCAGGCTCCCAAGTGACCCCCAAGATGAGCTAAGAGGCCCCCCAGAGGCACCCCAGACGCCAAACGAGGCCTCGGCGAGAAGGCCGAAATCATTAATTTGACAATGGTGTTGGCCACATCTGGGCCTCTTGGAGGGGGTCCCACTGTACTGCGGGCCCTCCTTTGATCGATCTCCTCCAAAATTGCCCCCGAGAAAGAGAGCCCCAGGAGGTGCCCAAGGTGCCCCAAGACGGCCCCAGGAGGTGCCAGAGAGACCCCAACGATGCAGCTAAGGGGCTCCCAAGAGATCCCCAAAAGGCTCCCAGAGGCACCCAAGACGCCTCAAGAGGCTGCCTGGACTGCCAGGAAGCCCCCAAGACGCCCCAAGAGGACCCCAAGAAGCTCTCAAAAGGAATCCAACGAGACTCCGAGAGGCATCCAAGAGGCCTCTGGCCATTCTGCTCGCCCTCCTCTTCCTCCTTCCTCATCGGCCTGTTCCTCCTCTTCTCCATCCGCCTTCATCCCCCTCTCCCTACTCCTCCGTCCAATCTCCCTCACTCCTCCCTGTCGCACCCCGAGGCCGGCCGGAACGACAGGCCAGGTCTTTCGCATGAGACTTCCTTATCATTATCAGCAACAGCTTCACATATGGAGGGCGGGCCGCTTCCGGACTGTGGCTCTCGCCCTAGCGCCGCGCATCTTGTGTTTCACCCCTGCAAGAGCCTCACGGATCGTGGCCAGGTCCTAAAAATGTGGTTCCCGCCTCAGCGCCGCGCATGATCGTCATAGGAATGTGCAAGAGCTTCACGGACGGTTCCTGTTCAAATTTTGGCTCTCGCCCTAGCGCCGCACACACTTGTATGCTAGAACTGAACGTGTTTCGCTGATTCTCAAAGTTACCGAACCAGAACTGGTGTTTTGGAGCGGTGTAAGATTGCCAAGGCGCAACAATTACGTTTATTCGCCGTCTTGAGGGCCCAACAATGACGTTCTGGTACGATTCTGGATCGTCAGGAGGCAACCGTAAGGTTGAATCGTGACAATGAAATCCCAAGAATGGTGCTCTGGCATTGTTGAAGACTTTGAGACGGGTATCTCGCGGCGGGGCACTTCCCTCGATAGAGATGAATCCTTGTGGGGGCCCGTGAAGAGGGAGCTTGGAGGGAGGGTGTATTGCAACATCGTTGGTGAGTCTTGGGTTTACACTAGTCCTCCTGCTCCTCCTCTTCCCCCTCCTCCTGCTCCTCCTCCAATTCCTTTTCCCACCTCCCCCTCTTGGAGTGCGACGTCTCACCCAACCCTGTCTTCCACAACATTCACCTCCACATCCCGGCGCTCTTGGGGGCCTGCTGGGGGCCTAGGGCTCGGGGCCTGGGGCTTCCTGGGGCCTCTTGGGGTCACCTTGGCGCCTCTTGGGAGCCTCTCGGGGCCTCCTGGGGACCTCTGGGAGCGGACCGCGCGCAATATCGATTCGTGTTCTCCCTCGGAGGACCCTCTGGAGGCGTTCTGGAGGCGCTCTGGGGCCGTCTTGGAGGCCATCGTTGGGACCTCCTGGGCCGTCTTGCAGCGTCGGGAGGCCGAACAGGCGAGAACCTCCAACCTCTTCCAGGACCATAAGAAGAGTAATGTTGGTTGCCCCGTGGGACCCTCTCCAGAGGCCTCTTGAGGCGTCTTGAGGGCGTTTTGGGTCGTCTGGAAGCCATCGTGGGCGTCTTGGAGCGGAAGTTCGGCGACGCTCGGCTCTTTGGAAGCCTTCTGGGGCACCTTCGAAGCCTCGTGTCCCGTTGTTGGGGCGGTCGGGAGCCGTCTGGGGGCGTCCCCAGCGGCCCCGGGCCCCCTATGCGAAGTCGAGGTCCCTGGGCCAGAGCCCAGGACTCCGTCGCCAGGGATGTGTTTATATAGACACCAAGAACACATATATATATATATATATATATATATGCATAGATATACACATACACATCTGCCTATCTGTTATATATATATATATATATATATTGTGTGTGCGTGTCTTAACACAGACCTGCATATATGCATACATACATGCATACATGCATGCATACATACATGTATGCATGCATACATACATACACATACATAAACACACATTCATGCATACATTCACCCATACATACATACATGCATACATGCATGCATGCATACATACATACACACACATATACATGTTTACATACACGCATACATACACACATGCATGCACACATACATACAGACATGCATGCATAGCTACATACATACATACATACATACATACATACATACATACATACGTACGTACATACATACATACACACATCCATAAATACATACATACAAACATGCATCCATCCATCCATCCATACATACATACATGCATGCATGCATGCATGCATGCATACATACATACATACACACATGCATTTACATACATACATACATACATACATACATACATGCATGCATACATACACATACATACATACATACATACATACATACATACATACATGCATACATATATACATACGTACATACGTACATGCGTACATACGGACATACGTACGTACCTACATACGTACATACGTACATACGTACATACACACATACACGCATACATGCATACATGCACACATGCATACATATACACATACACTCGTATATAGATACATGCACACATACATACATACATGATTGCATGCATGCATACATGCATGCATTGCATGCAGACAAGCATGCGTGTCTGCACACACATGCACTCATACATGCATACATCCATACGTACATGCACACATACGCATGCATGCATACATGCATACACACATCCATACACACACGTAAATCCATACAAACATGCATACACCTGCATACATACGTGCATACACACATACATACAGACCTGTGGCTGGGTGTGTATGTAGGTATATATGCATTGGTTGATGGATGGACGGATGTGTGTATGTATGTATGTCTGTATGTGTGTATGTATGTATGTATGAGTGTATGTATGTATGTATGTAACTGTTGTGTAAATATGTATGTATGTGTACATGCATGCATGCATGTTTTTATGTATATGTGTACGTGTGTCGAGGCCATTGTATAGTTGAAACATCGACTGTCTGTATCGCGGGTGCGATCCGAGGCAGATCGCCAACCGAAAGCTGCTCCTGTCCACTCCTTCAACCTCCTTATCACCCGAATAATTGTCCTATCCGATTGGCAGGATGCATCATGATATTAGTCGGCTTTATCAACTTACACATCTTATGCAATGTTGAAAACGGCGGCACATCCCCATCCCCTGAGGGGAAGAAAGCACCCCCTCGATGACGGGGTCCAGAACGATGGCGCCACGGAACCTCAGCGATCAGAGCACGGAGCGAGCAAGCAATGATCGAAAGCAGCGAACAACACGTATGATGTGGTTGGAAGGATCGGGCGCGATTGCCGATGGGACTGGACACGAGGCACGTCTGAGAGACTACTGGAAGGCTGGGTGAGGCGAGGCGAGGAGAAAAGCCGGGAAAAAAGACGGGATGCACCACCACCGCACAAACTCCTACACTTTTTAGATGCTCGTTCTGGGGACCTTCCTGGAGCCACTCGCTCCACTCGTGCGTCGAAGCTGCGTCGAACCTGAGTCGAACCTGAGTCGAACATGAGTCGAACCTGAGTCGAATCTGAATCGAACCTGAGTCGAACCTGAGTCGAACTTGAGTCGAACCTGAGTCGAACAGATCCATTAGGTGGCCCCCAGGAAGGTCCCCAAAACGAGCATCGAACACTTTGGCGCGGGCACCAGGCCACCTCCGCACAGGGAGCGCCACGCACAGACCCCCCCAAAAGAAACAGCCCGCCACGGCGTCGCCGCCGCTCGGCCCTCGGGCACGGACACCCCGGCTCCCTGGAGGGCCGCGTGGAGGGAGCAGCGGACGCGGCCAATGAGCATCCCGACGAGCGAAGGCCCTCAGTAAATGGAGTCAAGGCACGAATCGGACAGGGATGAGTTTCCCCACCAGGCAGAAAAATTGCTTCTACACTGTTTAACAAAGCTCTCGTCTGCCTTCAGTTCGCGACGAGCGAAGGCCCTCAGTAAACCCAGACATCGGGCGTCTCGAAAAAAACGAGACAGAGGTTTTTTTCCTAGCTTTGGGCCTCTCGGGGCCCTCGCCGTGCCTCGGGGCCGTCAAAAAACGGCTCGGGATGAGAAACTGGTCCCAGGCAAGTGGTCGGGAGGTCGGGTGCCCGCGTCTCGAAAAAATCGAGACTTCGGATGTCTGGGAATGGAGTCAAGGCACGAATCGGACCGGGATGAGTTTCCCCACCGAACAGAAAAAGGGGCTTGAACATTGTTTAACAAAGCTCTCGTCTGCCTTCCGGGCCTACCGAGCAGACGGCGGCCGCCAGATCCTACACGACTCTGGGACTCCGTGAATGTCCCGTCCCGCGTCCTCGACGAATGACGACACCATGCCGCGGTCGCCAAACCCCACAAGATCCTTGGAGTCCCTGGGTGTCCCACGATGATGCCCTGCGTGCCAGACAGGCCCGAGGGGAAGCGTCACGGCGCTGCGGCGTTACAACGCATGAGCAAAGAGGCATGAAGAATCGGCATCAAGAGCACAGAACAAAACGGGCACATCTATCATACTAAACCGATAATGACCGAACAGAGCATGACACAAACTACTGTAGAAGATCTGAATAAAATTAACTGGCCAAAGCATAACACAGCATATTGCAAGAAATCGTTGCATAGCACAACAGAGCACGGCACAGCATAGCATGACCAATCACAGTATCACACAACATGTTCTGCCGTATAGAAAAAACGCATACGATGCCAGAGCATAACCAAGCATGGTATAATATGGCGGCACAAGGACACAATGGTTCTTCGACTGCTTACAATACGGCGCTGGATACACTACAACCGTTGGCTACCATTCCATGGTCTACGTAAACCGAACATCACATAATGAAGGGGTACATCACTGCAGAACCCGTCATGCAATATATAATCATGACGCACCAGGACATAACATGCCGTACACTCTGATATAACGCAGCATCGCGTAACCAGCCACAACATACACTAACACACCATACGCCTGTGATGAAGCGCGGCAACACACTGTATAGTCAGCATACTATGACAGCACATAACAGAACGCTTCTACCACTGCTACCACTCTGGCAACATGCGCAACGTAGGGTACGGGTTTATCGTGTGATTGTATTGGTGGCTTAAGTAACATATACTGACACACTACACCACACTACAATCCGTATGGTGCACTACAGCGTACAAAACTCGAAACAACTAACAATTTACAGCGTCGAGCAAAAATCCGACACACGCTCACGCAGGCCTGAGAGGCCAAGGGCCTGCAACGGACTCTTGCGGGCCACGAGCCACGGTGTCTCATGCGCTTTTTGACGAGCGGGGTCGGGCGACGAGCGCCACCGCAAGCGCCCCGAAGAGGCGCCCGACTCAGCCGGGCACCTTGGGGAGCTGCGCGATACGCCGCGCCGCCAGCGCCGCGAATTCGGAAACGCTGCCCCCAGCGCAGCGCGCGTCTCTCCTGCGCTCCTGGGCGCCGCTGGGCTGTACCGGGGCGTGCCGCGCGGGCCTCTGGGGGGGCCGTGGCCCCGCCCAGCGGGGCCCCCCAAAAACGCTCGAGGAAGGCCGCAAGAAGCTCCCGGGAGGGTCCCTCAGACTTCGGCGGCGGGCCAAGAGCTTCCCAGGACACCTGGCGGCCTCAAGACGGCGCAAGAAGCGCCCGAACCGCCCCAGGCGAGCTCCCAGGGGAGCTTCCAAGAGAGCCCCACGCGGCAACAATCGCCCCATTCCATGTTTGGGAAGGCGAATCTGTTCAGCATGTTCGCCGTGTTGGTCTTCGCAGCGTCCAAGCAGGCCCAAGAGGCCCACAATAATGGCCCAACAAAACCAAAGACGCGGCAAGAGAGGTCCCCAAGACGGCCCAAGAGGGCCCTCAAGACGGCCCAAGAGGCGCCGAAGACGGACCAAGAGAGCCCCAGAACGACCCCAAGAGGGTCCAACAATGGGAGCCCGAACCGAAAAATCACGCGTTCCGTCCCAAGATGCCCCCAGGAGGCCCCAAGAGGCCGCCACGAGGCCCCAAGAGGCCACCAGGAGGCCCCCAAGGCACCCCACGAAGCCCCAAGCTGGCCACCAGGAAGCTTCAAAACTGCCTCCACGAGGCCCCCGAGAGGCCTCCAGCGACATCCCACCGAACATTTCATGTTCATGGCCCACAACCCAAGCACTGCGACGGCGTGTGCCGAAGGACATGAGATAATCACGCACAGCTAAACAAATATCATATACCAAAACGACCATGCGGCGTATTGCAATAGCATGAGCTTGCAAATAAGACTGCTATACAGGGATTCACTGGACAGCGAAATTTGAACGAGAGTGCAATACATTATTGAGAGAACAGCCAGTCAGAGTACCAGTATGAGCGAAATACCCGAATAGCACAAAATGTGATTCTTGATCCCAGCAACAGAAAACACAACCGAACATGACACGACATGTACTATATACTGTAACATAGCACAGTATAATATTGAGCAGTACTGCGTATGAAAAGAAGTGAACGAAACACAACACCGCACCACTTAAAACACCACAAGCGGATCATATGTCATACTATACCGTGATATGAAACACTCAAGTAGACCAGGCTCGAGCATGACTGAATACACCGAACATACATCAGCGACCGAATCACAGCGACCTATCAAACGCGACGTGCGCGCCGAGGTCAGGCTAGCCGAGGGAACATAAAGGCACAAAACGACCGAGCGTAGACTGGCGAGTTCCACTACTCGCAAAGTAACTACTCGCAAATGGCCTGGATCCGCCGCGGGGGGTGTACGATCCACTACATCGAAGCAAGCATGTGTATTTCGAGCGTTTGCGAGTAGGCACTTTGCGAGTAGTGGAACGCGCTCGGCGAGAGTGGACGACGTCTCAAACGTGACAGGTGTCACGACGTCACAACGGCCCGCCCAGCGCAGAACAGAACATGAGAGGTAAGAACACGATAGACCACATTATCTTTTACACATATATATATATATATGTATGACATCGCTGGAGACGACTGCCGATCTGTTCAGGGAATACTGCAGAATGCAACAAGGACCGCCTCACGGCGCCCTGTCAAACGCAGCACGCGAGCCGACGTAAGGACGGCCACAGGAGCAGACATGCACAACGACGACCGATTCGACGCCACATGAAACGTGACGGGCGTCGCGACGTCACGCCGCCCCGTCGAAAACAGAACATGACAAATTAGATGTGAATAGGACGATACATAACCGAACATAACGTGACAGAGCAGAATACAGCAGCGACCGAATCAAGGCGTCATGTCCAACGCGACATGCGCGCCGAGCTCAGGCTGGCCACAAAAACAGGCAGTACCAGACTGGGGAACAGACGCCGACGGTTTCGGCGGGCACCACTCGAGGCACCATAATCAGTAGGCGCCCACAGGACTATTCAGGAAGCGCCCATCATAATAAGGGGTCGTGTGTTTCTTCGTCCTCCCGCGAAAATGGAACTTCCAAAATAACTACTCTGGCCGATTGCCCGCCGTCGTGCCGCGGCCCCCTGCCCTCCTGGGACCGCTGGGACACCTCGCCGCGGCCACGCGGCCAGCCCTGCTCCTCCGGCCTCCCCCCCCAGGACGTCCGCGGATGGCTAGCAGGGGCGTGGCGGCGCGCACACGGGGGGGGGAGGGGGAGGGGGGAAGGCTTCTTAGAAGGAGACTGCTCCTGAGAAGGCGCGGGCCTTACCTCTACTGAGAAGGCCCGCGCCCTCTGAGAAGCAGGGATGCTTCTCAGAAACCTTCCCCCCCCCCTGCCCCCCTCTGCGCGTGGCTGAGGGGGAGCCGTTCCAAGAGGACGGAGAGCCTCGCGGGGAAGAGTGCGGCGTGGTTCACACGGCTGGGCGCCGTCTTCTCCAGAGGGGCCGACACGTGCGGGGGGGAGGGCGCACGCCTGCTGGGGCTGTGGGCATTCAGGGATAACGTGCGAGAGGAAGGAGGTGGGAGACGATGAGAAACACATCAGCAGGAAAGTAGAATCGCGAAAAGGAGCAGCAGCAGCAATGATAAGAACGACGGCAGAAGCAAGCACAACAGCAACACCGACGCAACAATGTCGCGCGCTGACAAGCCCCATGAGCCTTGCTCCTCCTCCTCCTCCTTCCCCCATCCTCCTTCCCTCTTCCACCTCCCCCCCCTCCTCCTCCTCCTCCTCCTTTCCTCCTCCTCCCTCCTCCTCCTCTTCCTCCTCCTCCTCCTCCTCCTCTCTTCTCCTCCTCTTCCTCCTCCTCCTCCTCCTCCTCCTCCTCCTCCTCCTCGTCCCCCTCAAAACTGTGCGCGCATCCTTACCTTCGTAGTAGGCGAGCAAATCCGGTGCCCCAGCGCCCCTCGGGAGTTCTCTCGCCGGCGGCACAAGCACAGAGGCACTGGGACGCGCACTCAACCTGTGCGTGTCTCTGGTGACGCTCTTCTCCCTGGCTCCTGCCTGCTATATGTAGGGAAACAAGCAATGACATGAACATGATGACTGGGAGGACCGCGCGGATTCTCGGATCGGTGCTGGGGCCCCCTGGCGGCGCCTCCAGCGCCGCCCCTGGCGCGCTCCGCGCACCAGGGAGGGGGGTCTAGCGCGGATCCAAGCAATCCGCGCGAACCTCCGAGTTTGCATGTTCATGTCCTTCCTCGTTCCCCGAACAGTTCCGTGCCGCCCCCAGGGAGCCCGCTCTCGGCGAAGGTGACGAGCGGGGCCGGCCCGACCCCCAGGTCGGTCACCCGCACGGCGGCGTTGGCGGGCGCCCGGGCCTGTCCGGGCGGCCGAAGGTCCGATCAGCGTCGGGAGGGCGGCATGGAGGGCCAGTGCGGATTTTGAGCGAAAAATGATATATATATATATATATATATATATATATATATACAGAAATATGTGATTAATGTTTAAGTCTTTTAGAAGTCACAGAAATCGTCCCCAGGCTATTTGTTGACTATTTTTGAATACTCGGCCCGACGCAACCGGAAGTCCGAGCAACGTCGGGAGGGCCAGTGACGGGGGCGCACGCGGGCCGCCAGGGGAGGTCGGAGTCCGAGCCGACGCGGGGCCGAGAGACCGCCCTGGGCAGAGAGGCATCGAAAGCTCGCCGCGGCCATGCAGTCAGAATAAACAAAAAACTCACTCGACGAGGCTGAGGGAATCTCAAAGTTGGAACGAAGGCCACTTGATGGCGAGGAGAAAAACTCACCACCACCACCACCACCACAGTCCCTCTCCCCCCAGCTCTGGGGAGGAGGCCCTCCACCACTGCAGGCGCCCAGAGGTCCCCCCAGAGCCCCAAGAGAGGTCCGAGACGGTCCAAGCGGCTTGCGCGAAAGCTTGGGTGAGCGTTTCTTATTCCAGGGGAACAAAAAGTTACATAAACATAAAAACTCGGAGGTCCGCGCGGACTTCTCGGATCGGCGCTGGGCACCCCTTCCATGGGGCGCGGAGCGCGCCAGGGGCGGCGCTGGTGGCGCCGCCGGGGGCCGATGAGAGACCTCCGGAGACCTCCGAGAAATCCGCGCGGACCTCCGAGTTTTAAATGTTTATGCCACTTTTTGTTCCCATATATTCGGCGTTTCGACAGTGGGCGGAACGGGGGGGAGGGGGGGGGGTCTGGCTCCTGACCCCTGCTTATTGCGAGCGTTGGCAGCAGTGCGTCCTTTGGGGGGAGAGGCTCCACCTGCTTGAAACAGGCGCCAAAAACAACAAGATCCACTCCAGGGTGGGGGGGCGTGCGAGGGCCCGCGCCGATCGGCAAAGCAATTAAGACCGCCTGCCGACCCAGAACGGCGGGGGCGAGATCGGGGACAGAAAGTCGAACCACATACTTATGCCAGGGCATTCTGGTTGCCGTGCGCAAGTCGCCGTGAACAGCGCGGGCGATTCGGTGCAGCCCGCTCCTGGCCATCGCTCGGACGTCCATTCCCTGTGTTTTTTTCGGTTTCGTGCGTGGTTTTTTTCGCCAAATGATCAAGAATGCTCCTCGATGGTCCTCGCCGAAGGAAAAATGCACACGTCCGAGCGATGCCGAGGCTCGGAATCAAAAAAAAAAAAACATGCGTCACGGCCGCGGCCGCCAGCCCCACGACACAGGCAGCGCTGGGGCCAGCATCAGCACCTGCACCAGGCAGCGCCCCGCATCACTGGCACAAGCTGGCGCCAGCAGAACCACAGCAGAAAATACACTGCAGTTTGTTTTAATTCAAAGGATTTTAAAAATATATGATTTCTAATACATGATTAACTTATGAATACAGTTATGCATGAACTCATCGTTGTTTTTCATCCTAAATCCCTGCATGTTAAATACATGATCCGCACGCGGAGCATGTATTAAAAACGGCACTGTACAGTCGGGGTTGACTGGAGAGGACACGCGAGAGGACACAAGACCCTTCCGAGGCCCACATTGCCACAGGAATTGAAGAAGGCATGGGTCGCCAAGCTCAGGTCAAAGGGTACCCTTGCTTTGGCAGGGTCGACCTACTAATCAGTCTCGACTGTACCACCACCAGGCAACAGCAGGACCACCACAAACTTCGGTGGCAACTCATGGGAGCCTCCCATGCCATCTTGTCGGCTCTTGCGAATCGACGCTGGTCGACGCTAAGTCGACGCTAATCGATGCTAACCGACGCTGGATCGGCGCTATCCCATCGACTCCCAGACGCTAATCGACGCTAGTCGACGGAATTAAGAGGACATAGAAGGCTACCACGATTTGCCACCGAACGGCATGTCTCCATCTGCCCTCGATGCCGCCCGCACAGCGGGGCCAGGGCGCCAGCCCTGCCACCTGTGATCAGAGCCCAGAGCACCATCGCAGGCACCCCTCGTCGTGGCCTGGGAATCCGGACTTCCACAGGGATGCCCTCTCCCCCTCTCGCCCTTCTCTGAGCTCTCTCCCCCCTCTTCCCCTCTCCCCCTCTCCCAGTCTCCCCATCTCAGTCCCCCTCTCGCAACATTGCCATTGTCCACTGGGCCAGACGACTTTGGTGGCAGCTCATGGAAGCCTTCGATACCATCGTATTATCGGCTCTGGCGAATCGACGCTAATCGACGCTAGTCGAGGCTATTCGACGCTAAGTCGACGCTAATCGATGCTAACCGACGCTAAATCGGCGCTATCCCATCGACTCCCAGATACTACTCGACGCAAGTCGACGCTAAAGACAGAATTCAGAGGGTACATCGAGCTCCCATGATTTGCTGCCGAATGCGATGAAGAAAGGCCGCCTCGGAGTGGTTTCCATCAAGCCGCCCATGCCTGAGACGACGCTTAGATCGCAACATGGATGTTGCGGTCTAGGGTGCGGATGCGACAAGGCCGCCACGGGTCCCGCCTCAGATCTCCTGGCCCACCGGACAGCCTGGGTCGAAACCAGGGCGGGCAGCAATGAGATGTGGGCTTCTCCTGCTTGTCGTCTCTCCGCCAACCCAGGGCGCATGAAACGAAGCATCCGTGGGGCTTGTGAGACATCGAGCCTCGAGCCCGAAGGTCGGAACTCCCGATCCTGCGGAGACTTCCATGCCTCGGTGCCCAGGAAGTCATGAAAACACCCTTTGCGGGCGAATCTCCGAACTCTTTTCTTCCCTCACAACTCCCCTCCGAACCTGTGATGAGTTAGCTACACTGTGTGCGTGTCCACCGAAGCCCTTCCACTGCGACGCCAGCGACGTCATAAAGGGGCGGGCACAGGCTGCGCGCTGCGGTCGGTGGAGCTTATAACCGGGCAAACGCACTCTGGACTGAGACACGTCCAGCTCGCCGTCGCTCGAACGCCCATCCAATGTGCCTTTTTTTGTCGGCGGCTTCGTGCGTATCTCTCTTCGCAACGTGACAAAAACTGCTCCTCGATGGCCCTCGCCAAGAAAAAAACGCACACGTCCGAGCGATGCCACGCCAGAGGACCATCGAGAAGCGGAGGGGGAGACATCCGAGGAGGGGGCCAGGCGAGACAGCGGCGGCTCTCCCGCCCGGATGCGGCCCCCGCCGCACCCCTCCTGGGACTCGCCCTGGCCCGTTCGTTCCTCGGGGCGGCTCCGGCCACGGCGACGCCGAGCATCAAGGGGAGGCCAGAAGAGGCGATGTTTTTGTTGTTGTTTTACCAGCCTGGAACATATCCCTGTCCCTTTGCTGGGCACCTCCTCATCACGATGCCAATCTTAGGGATTCCCTTCTTTTTTGATGGCGAATCCCCAAGATTGTCATCGCCTTTTGGCGTGTCAATCTTAGGGATAGGGATGAGTTCGAGGCTGGTAATTTGTTGTTGCCACTTCAACCCCAGAGGTTCCTTGGCCCACGGCAGGGCCAGAGCCGAGGAGCCTGTGAGGGAACGGGGCGAGCTCCCCCGCACAGGACACGGGGGCGACGCCTGTCAGAGAGGGGATCCCAGGCACCCGACGTCGTGATGTGTTCACGCCGTGCCTCCCCGCGTCTCTGGACCTCTCGGCGACTACAGCGGGTACGGCTTGCGAAGGGAAAGGTCTGCCTCCCGGCAGATCTGCCCCTCCCGCCCCCGGGAAACGGATGGCACTGTCACTCAACGCGACCGAATCACATGACGCTGTCGCTCCTTCTAGACCAATGGAGCACACATCGAGGATGACAGCGTCGCTCGACACGAGGATATGTATGACATTGTCTCTCACAAAGGCCCCGGAAAGGCCGCCGCAAAGCAGCTCGCGAACCGCACCCTGGCGTAACCGCACCCCTTGTAGTCGCCGAAGCGTGCCTTGGTGGTCCCCAAACGTGGTGGTGAGAACACCCGCTGGTGAGTTTTGGGCGATTTGGGTAATTGTTTTTGAGCGCTGGCTGGCCCAAGAAACGCAAAACCTCGTGGCGACCGCGTGTCCCCAAACCCGGTGGTGACCCAGAATTATTTCTTTGGGGAATCGGGGTCACCACCGGGTGTCTCACCACCTGGTTTGGAGACCACCAAGTGCCTCCCCGCGTCTCTGGACCTCGTCCCGGGGACCGGCGTCTCCATTCCGGGTCGTTGGCCGCTGGCCCAGACATCGGGGATGGACAGACCCCCCTCTAGCAAAGCGTGGTTTCGTGGAAACGGCCCGAGGCACAAGCCCGGCGGGCGCAGGCCTGGAACAGAACAGCCGCGGCGCCCTCTCTCGAGAACCGCAAACGGACAGTGCGCTGATCGACGTGTCACTGTTGGGGGGCTCTGTCCACCCCCGAACCGGGGGCTCCTCAACCAAACGCGCCAGCCCGAGAGGAACCGTTCCAGGTCGCCATCGAGTCAAAGGGAAACCCCTCCCCGGGAGGAGGAGGAGGAGGAGGAGGAGAAGGAGGAGGAGGAGGAGGAGGAGGAGGAGGAGGAGGAGGAGGGAGGGGGAGGAGGAGGAGGAGGAGGGGGAGGAGGAGGAAGAGGAGGAAAGGTGGAGGAGGTGGAGGAGGTGGAGGAGGAGGAGGAGGAGGAGGAGGAGGAGCGACGCGTCACTGCTGGGGGGCTCTGTCCACCCCCGACCAGAGGAAGGCCAGCAACGGGCTCCCGGGTGGCCAGAGGTCGCCCGAAGCTGTCCGTCGCGGCTCTGCCGCTCCACGGCGCGCGGGCGTCGGGGGTCACCGAGGACAGGCTGGGCCCGCGGGGCCCGCCAAGCAAGCAAGCGGCTAGGCTTCAGTCGGGCAGGTCCCCCTACAGGCGGATTTTTTTTTAAAGATACTCGAACAACGCCCTGAGGTACCAAAAAAATAGTCCTCGGACTATTGCTTGACATTTTTGTTTGGGGGGGATAGTCCTCCTGTAGAGGGGCACGCCCGACTTGAAGCCTAGACAGCAGCGCGTGGTGAGGGGAAGCCTCAACGCAGCGAGCGCTAGAACCGTAAGCAGTCGGCCCACGGGCCGCCTCGAGCGGCGCGCGCCGCAGTCACCGCTCCTTGTCGCCACGGGTGGCCACGCCTGCCAGAACCTGTCCGTCGTGACTTGCTGCCTCACTTGAGGGATGACAAAAACGACCCTACCCTGGGCAGAGAGGCGTCGAGAGCACGCCGCGGCCATGCAGTTGGGTGAGCGTTTTCTTTATTCTAGGGGAACAAGAAGTCACATACATAAGGGGATGAACAAACGACCCTACCCTGGGTGACAAATGCGTGGTCTGTAAACCTCCCGGGAACCCCCAGAGCCTAGAGAGCCGCCAGGACGCCGCACAGCACGCCGCACAGCACTCAGGGTTTGCCCTGTCAGCCCACAGGAGTTCCAGCGCACAGCGCCCCGCAAACCAGGGTAGGGGCGTTTTTCATGCCCTTGACCCACGACGCGCAGGTGCCAGGGGTGACCGAGGATCCGGGGCGGAGAGACCATTCAGCCATCGCCTCCGTGTCAGGGGAAATGCCAGAAGTCACCGAGGCCACCCGCCAGTGGCAAACCAAACTGAGGTTTTCAGTCAGCCGAGGGCACCGGAACCGGACTCGCAGGAAACAGTCCAGTCCGCCCGTGCGCAGTCCGCAGGCCTCTGGGGAAACTTACAGGCACTGATACCGCTACTCCCCAGGCCTCTCCCGGGGCGCGTTCTGACCAGGACCTCGAGGCGAACCCAGCGGTGGCGACGAGGGCTTCCCAGGAGGCCCAACAAGGCGAGGTAAGGGGAGCGGTATGTGTACCTTTTCTAGCGGTATGTGTACCTTTTCTAGAAAGGCCTCCTCGATGGGGTTCGAGCAGATGTGGTCGAAGGATCGCGTGCATCGCCAATGCATCGCCGATGCATCGGCGATGCATCGGGGACGTCGGCGATACATCGCGGACGTCGGCGTGGGGAATCACGGGCTCCGCATCGAGCCGCATCGCCGATGCATCGGGGATGCGGCTAGATTCTCCGACCCCGTCTTCTCGGACCCCATCTAGGAGGCCTAGACGTCGACCTCCAGAGGCCTGGACCCATTCCCTGGGACTGGTTTCTCATCCCGTGCCGTTTTTTTGACGGCCCCGAGGCCCGGTTAAGAGCTCCTAGAGGCTGAAGATTGCGAAAAACTGCCCGTCGTGACTTCCTCATGACCCGAGCCCAGACATGCGACGCCCTGATTATGTTCAGGACGGCGCCCCCTCAAGTCCAGACCCGCTCCCCCAGACCAGCTTTTTTTTGGACGCCCGAAATGGGTACCGAAAATTGGGCACTATGCCCAACAACAAATGTTGTCCCAAGCCAACAGCGGCCGCTGTTGGGCAGGCGGCCTTCTGTCTCGAATGGACACAGGCCGCGGCGGCGTGGACAGCGAATCCTGTTCAGAATGAACAGGAACTGCTGCTGGGCATGGTACCTATTCTTGCGGTACCCATTTCGGCCGTCCAGATTTTTCGTCCCGAGTCATTTCTTCGACGGCCCCGGGGCCCGGCGAGGCCCCCTCGAGGCCGAGAACGGCGAGAAACCTCCGCCTCGTGTTTTTCCCCAAGGCCCGGGCTCCTGGAAGAGGCGCGCCTTTGCAAGCACGTCGACTTCGGCACCGCCTGATCCCGAGGCTTTGCCTCCTCCCGGCCTCGCTCTGAGGCTGCGCCCTCCCCCTTTCCTCCCCTCCCTCCGCCTAAGTCAAGCTTCGCGTGGCCCGCTTAGCTTCGACCGGAAGAGGTGCGCTCTCGACCCGCGGATCAAAAAAAACGTGTTTCTTCCCCAGGGCCCTGGGTCTCCGCGGGCACGGAAAGAATGGGCACAATGCCCAACAACAAATGTTGTCCCAAACCAACAGCGGCCGCTGTTGGGCGGGCGGCCTTCTGTCTCGAATGGACACAGGCCGCGGCGGCGCGGACAGCGAATCCTGTTCAAAACGAACAGGAACTGCTGTTGGGGTTTGTACCCATTTTTTCCGTACCCATTTCGGGCGTCCAGATCCAAGGCCCTGGGTCTCTGGCTGGGCCTCCCCCTCCGCGGGCGCGGCGCCGCCCGCGGGGGCGCCTTGGCGACCAGGCGGCTCGCGTCGCCGTACGCCTCCCGGTACGGCGCCACCAGCTGCGGCCCGCCGCCCTCGCCCAGCGCCACGGCCGCCACGGCCGACGCGGTACCTCCCCGCGCCCCGGGGAGCGCCCGAGAGGGGGTGGGGGCGTCCAAGGCCCCCCTCGCGCTGCGAACAAGACCACGACGCTAGGCTTCTCTCTCTGGTCTCGGCCCCTGGGGCCATGTAAGTAGGGCGCCACATGCGCACCCTACCCCTGCCCCCCACGATTCCTGAGGGGGAGGCGGAGGCGGAGGAGGAGGGGAGGGGGCGAGGGGAGGGAGAAGGAAACGGGCGGAGGCCCCTCCTCCGGCCCCAATAGGAACGCATTAAGAATGCGATGCGATTGCAACGCAATGTAATGCCATGCGTTTGCAGTGCAATGCAATGCAATGCCGAGGAGGGAGGAGGAGTGAGGACGGAAGGGGGGAGAGTGGAGAGGCCTCCACATATTGATTCCTTATGTGGGAGGGCTCTACACATTGATTCCTTGTGTGGAGGGGCGTCCACATATTGATTCTTGTTGTGGAGGGGCCTCCACTATCATCACCATCCCCATTCACGTCAGCATCATTGTCATCATCGTCGTCGTTGTTGTCATCCTCATCGCAACCATCATCGTAATCATCACCGTTATCACAATCATACCGTCACATTATCTCCATCGCAATCGAGAGAAAGCCAAAAGTTTACCACCCTATTCCCCTGCTCTCCCGACTTGAGACTAACCCTTGATGCCCGAAAACGGAGAGAATCCTCAGGGCCCGTGTCCCTCATGACCCGCTCGTGCGTGACGATCGGTGACCTTCCCGCGCAGCTGGTGGCTCAAAGATGGGGTCCTGAGGAATGGGGTCCTACGTCGGGGGCGCGCAAACATGGATTAGCGATCCATGGATTCGGAGCGCGGTCGCCAGATCCATGGATCGGGGGAGGTGCCCTCCCACGGCGGAAACCTCGATGTCCCATGGAAACGGGACCCGTCGCTAATCCGAGCCCCCTTGATCCATGTTTGCGATCGCCTGGCGACGGACGCGGTGTCTCAGACAACGCATTCGGCGGCGCGCGAGGGGGGGAAGTGAGAAGGAGGAGGCCTTCTCAAAAGCGGCGGGGCTTCTCAGAAAGCCTCCAGCCTTATGGGGGAGGCTGTTTGTACATCCAGGGAAGGCTTAGGAAACTTTTTGAGAAGGCTGAGGACTAGAGAGCCTTCTGAGAAGTCCCGCCCCTTCTCACTTCTCGGGCTCGCCGCCGACGTACAGTCAAAAGTTGTACCGAAGACGGGTGGTAAGGACGCAGGACTCGTGGAGGCCGAGGTTGGGCGTTCTTTGGACGGCTGGCGACCAGTGAGAACGGCGAAAGACGGGCCGAAGGCACCCTAGATGAAAGCGCGCGTCCTTACAGGGCACGTTGATTAGTAGATCCACCCTTGGATCCCTTCCTGTCCTTAGGCCCCCATCCTTCAGGACTTCTTTTTCCAAGATAGGAGCGGTCCAAACGCTTACACAGCTGACGCCAAACTATTTACCAGGAGCCGTGGCGGACAAACAGCTCGCGCTACCAAGCGCAGCTGTTCAGCCAACAACTCGCACGCACAGAAAGAATCGCCGAGACGATGTTCCACCTCAGCGCCCCGCTCAAGGAGAAAACTCAGCTCATAGACGAGCGCGCCCCACTACTCGCAAAGTGCTTACTCGCAAATGGCCCGGATCCGCCGCGGGGGATCTACGACAACTTACATAGAAAACCATGTTTTGCTTGTTCGGACGTTTGCGAATAACCACTTTGCGAATCGTCGAACGCGCCCGGTGAGCTCAGGACCCCATCCTGGACCCCCAGCGCTTCGGGGATCATCTTCTGACCCGGGTCAATCCAGACCCGGGTCAGCAGGAAACCAAAAACTGCAATGCAGGAAAAAAAACTGCAACGCAGGTCTTCGCAAACCCGGGTCAGCCAATATGCGCGGCTGCCTCGCGGCAACGAGCGGCTCGCTAACCCGGGTCAGCCAAAGGGGGTCTTCGCAGGATCCCACAGGATCCGGTGCCCTGGCTGACCCCCATTTGCATTGACCCCCGTCTCAAGGCTCCGGATCAGGACCCCATCCCATCTTGGAACCCCGGCGCTCAACTCCCGCCACGCTCCGGCACCGACCCCGCAGGCACGAATGCCGGGCGACAGGCGGGGGACGCGGCACCTTGCCAGCGGCAAGTGGAGCTGCGCAGCTCGGCGAAGCTGCGCACCGCCGCGGAGGAGAGCCGCACCTGCAGGAGGCGCTCGTTCCCAGCGTCCTCCGCACGACGTGGGCGACGACGACGACGACGACGACGCGGACGCGGACGAGGACGAGGACGAGGACGCAGACGACGACAACGACCACGACGCCGACGCCGACGCCGCCGACGCCGACGCAGCGACGACGATGGTGACGACGACGCACTGCTGCGGATGCCCCACGGGCCCGCTGTAGGCGTCGACGACGACGACGACGACGACGACGACCACGACGACGACGACGACGACGACGACGACGACGACGACGACGACGACGACGGCGGGTGCGGTGGCGGCGACGACGATGACGACGACAACGACGGCACGACGACGATGACAACGCGACGACGACGGCGACGACGACGCACTGCGGAAGCCCCATGAGCGGGGGGGTGCTGAGTGGGCGCGCCGGTCGACGACTGGGTCCACAGACAACGGCGACGACGATGATGATAATGATGATGATTATGATGATGATGCAGATGACGACAATGATGATGACGACGACGACTACGGCGCGTCAGTAGTCAGCCTGAGAGGGGGGAACAACTTCGCGTCGGATGTATGTATACGTTCCCTATGTCACCTTCTATACGATAGGCAATCGTTGTATGGCTGCCGTGCAGGGGGATACACGATCCACTCGGCGGGGCCCGCGACGACCCCCTGGCGCGCGTGATTGAAATTAACCTGGCGAACGACCCAACCATATGCAGTTGTGAATACCACAATTCTGACTATCTTCGCCCGCGCTTCCTATGTGGCCACGGCGTCCCGCTGGAGCCCGACATGCTCAGGAACACGTTCGTGGCCGTTTTCGCGGGCGCCGACGACGACAAGGACGGCGTCCCTCTGACCGAGGAGCAGAAGCAGGAGAGGGCGTTGAGAACCATGAAAGAGAAGGTGGCGTTGCACGTCGACAAGGCGAAGTACGACGCCCAGGCGCGGCTGTTGAAGCAGCACAACAATGGGGCCACGATCCTCGTGAGGGGTGTGCCGCAATGGCCCAGAGCCGCCATGCGAACCCTGCCGCTGGGGCCTTCGGTGGAGCTCCCTATGGGGCCACGATCCTCGTGAGGGGTGTGCCGAAATGGCCCGAGGCCGCCGTGCGAACCCTGCCACTGGAGGCATTCGGTGGAGCTCCCTATGGGGCAACGATCCTCGTGAGGGGTGTGCCGCAATGGCCCGAGGCCGCCATGCGAACCCTGCCACTGGCGCCTTCGGTGAAGCTCCCTGTGTGGCCACGATCCTCGCGAGGGGTGTGCCGAAATGGCCCGAGGTCGCCATGCGAACCCTGCCGCTGGCGCCTTCGGTGGAGCTCCCTATGGGGCCACGATCCTCGTGAGGGGTGTGCCTAAATGGCCGGAGGCCGCCATGCGAACCCCGCCACTGGGACCTTCGGTGGAAATCCCTGTGGGGCCACGATCCTCGTGATGGGTGTGCCGAAATGGCCCAAGGCCGCCATGCGCACTTTGCTACTGGCGCCTTCGGTGCAGCTCCCTATGGGGCCACGATCCTCGTGAGGGGTGTGCCGAAATGGCCCGAGGCCGCCTTGCGAAGCCTGCCACTGGGGCCTTCGGTGGAGCTCCTCCCTATGGGGCCACGAAACGTTGTTCTGGGCGGGTGAAACGCGGGGAGGAGGGAGGAGGAGGAGGAGGAGGAGGAGGAGGAGGAGGAGGAGGAGGAGGAGGGAGGAAAAGGAGGAGGGGAGGGAGGAGGAGGAGGAGGAGGATGGAGGAGGAGGAGGCAGAGAGGAGGAGAAGGAGGAGGAGGGGAGGAGGAGGAGGAGGAGGAGGAGGAGGGAGGATGGGAGGCGGGAGAAGGAGAAGGAGACGTGGGGCACCGTCTCTTCAAAACGATGACCCAAAACCACAGGATGGTTTAGAAAAATTGTGGAACATTCGTCCCCGTCATATTTTCCAGCTCTTCTTGAATATGACTTCTGTATAGATGGACACGCCCGACTCAACACTTGCGCCACAGGAGCTCAAGTCGGAGAGACGTAAGACCCGGGTACGGGGGACCCGAAAATCCCCGACGAGGTCGTCAAAAAAATGACGAGGCCGAGCCTGCATTTTGACGAGGCCTCCCGCTGCAGACATCCCACGAAACTCCTCCTCGTCAAAATCCGAGGCGCGGTCGTCAAAAAACGATGGCGAACCCGAGTCCTGGCAAACCCGGGTCTTACGCTCCCCCGATCAAGACCAGGCCAGTGACAGTTTCCGGCGCCACGTCCCCGTCCAGACCATGACAAGGGCCCCGGGACACACAACTAACTGCACACGAATACCACGATTCCTTACGTTTTTTTTTCCTTTCTGCGTTGTCGCCTCCCCACCCCACTTCCCATCAGTTCCCGTACTTTCCTGGGAATCGACAGCGGTCTGTGTCTGCGTGCTCTTGCCTCCCTCCTGGACGCTCCCTTGCGAGCGGAGGAGTCCTCAGGCTGCGCGTCGGTGCCGGCTGGCTCTCTCGCAGGGGGGGAAGAAAGGCAGCGGGCGGCGAGCGGCGCTCGGGCCATTATCCCAGAGAGCCGAGTTGGTCGTGTTTTTTTCTCCATACGGGGCCCCGAGAATCGGGCCGGGCGAAGGGGGGTTTGAGAATCAGCTCACGTAGCTGATTTTCCCAGCGCCTCCCGGCGCCGGGAGGCGCCCATGTATCGAGGAATGGGCCCCGAGGCGGGGCCGAAACCAGCTGCATGCAGCAGATTTCGTAACCCCCCTTTTCCCAATCCCCCCCATTCGTTCGGCCCGACAGAAGCGCTCTGTCTTCTCGTCTCGTTTTCTTAATTTCCGAAGAGTCGCCAATCGCGCGCTTCTGCCTATACGCGTCCTTCCCGAAGCTTGGCTCAATGGTGGTGGTAGGGTCCCGGGAAGGGCCAACAATCTTCCCCAGGACCCGTTTTTCATCCCGACGCGTTTTGTTGACGGTCCTGGGGCCCGGCGAGGGCCCCCCCCGAGAGGCCAAAGATTTAAAAACGTCCGTTTTGATTTCTCAATGCGTTGGATCTCTGGGATTACAATTAAGTCCGGCCTGTCCCCCTGCAGGCCGATTTTGGGCGACGAAGGACCCAGCCATATGCAGCTGTGAGTGCCGCAATTGTGAATCTCATATTCGGCCGCGCTCCCAATGGGGCCACGAACCGTGTGAGGGGCGCGCCGACATGCGTGGCGGGGCACCCAATGCGAGCGATGACGATAGTTCTGTGTGCGAGACTGAGAGCGGGTGAGCGTGAGCGCGACTGAATCTGGTTGTGAGTGAGTCTGGGCGCGCGTCAGTCTACGTGAACAAATGTCGACGCCCATGTCGACACGCCCTTCACAAGGATCCGCCCAGTTCTGCGACGAGCGCCGGTCGCCCCGAAGGGGTCCCGGCGACGCGCGCGGGTCGTCCGCTGCGCGGAGCAGAGAGAGCAAGCAGGATGGCTGATAGCGGGCAAAGCTCTGGCCGCCGGGCAGAGCGACGACAAGGGCGAGCGAGGCGCCGGGCAGACCGCCGCATGGAGTTCCCGCGACGCGCGCTGGTCGCCCCGAGAGGGTCCCAGCGACGCGCGGGTCGCCCGCGGCGCGAGGCCAAACGGTCAGACCGTCGAGAGACGGCGAGGCTCGGTCGGACTGCTCCTCAGGTCAAACCTCGCGGATAAACTCGGTGAAGCTCAGCTTCGCCGCTGGCACCTTCGGTGGAGCTCCCTATAGAGCCACGAAGCGGGTGAGGGGTGTGCCAGAATGGGGCGGCGGCGCCATGCGAGCTGCGCCACTGGGACCTTAGGTGGAACTGGCTATGGCCACGAAGCGGGTGAGGGGTGTGCCAAAAAGTGGCGGTTGCACCATGCGAGCTTCGCCGCTGGCACCTTCGGTGGAGCTCCCTATAGAGCCACGAAACGGGTGAGGGGTGTGCCAAGATGGTGCGGCGGCGCCATGCGAGCTGGGCCACTGGGACCTCAGGCGGAGCTGGCTATGGCCACGAAGCGTGTGAGGGGTGTGCCAAAAAGGGGCGGTTGCACCATGCGAGCTGCGCCGCTGGCACCTTAGGTGGAGCTCCCTATGGGGCCACGAAGCGTGTGAGGGGTGTGCCCAAATGGCGCGGCGGCGCCATGCGAGCTGCGCCACTGAGACCTTAGGTGGAGATCCCCCTGGGGTCAAGAAACGTCTGATGGGTGTGGGAAAATGGGGCGGCGGCGCCATGCGAACTGCGCCACTGGGACCTTAGGTGGAGCTCCCTATGGGGCCACGGAACGTGTGAGGGGTGTGCCAAAAAGGGGCGGCGGCGCCATGCGAACTGCGCCACTGGGACCTTAGGTGAAGCTCCCTGTGGGGCGAGGAGTGTGCCAAAAAGGGGCGGCTGCGCCATGCAAACTGCGCCACGGGGACCTTAGGTGGAGATCCCCCTGGTGTCACGAAACGTCTGATGGGTGTGCCAAAATGGGGCGGCGGTGCCATGCGAACTGCGCCACTGGGACCTTAGGTGGAGCTCCCTATGGGGTCACGAAGCGTGTGAAGGGCGTGCCAGAATGGGGCGGCAGCGCCATGCGAACTGCGCCACTGGGACCTTAGGTGGGGTTCCCTGTGGGGCCGCGAAACGTGTGAGGGGTGTGCCGGAACAGAGACATGCGGAGAGCAACGGCAAGGAGGGGGAGGAGGGAGGAGGAGGAGAAGGAAGGAGGAAGGAGAACGCGGGGCGCTGTCTCTTCAAAACGAGGTCCCAACACCACAGGATGGTTAGGACAAATTGTCAAAACATATCCCCAGATGGTCAACAAATGCCAAAGAAATAGTCCCCTGATCATTTTCTACTATTTTGGGATCTCTGGGATTTCAATTAAGTCGGGCCTGTCCCCCTACAGGCCGATCTTGGGCGAAAAATTAGGAGTAGTAAAAAAAACATCCCCAAATGGTTAAAAAAGATTCAAAAAATAGTCCCTTGCCTTTTTTTCCAAATTATTATTGGATATCCCCCCTGTGGAGGGACTGGCCCGACTCAAGAGTGCAGGGCGCCTCCGCACGAGGCCGGCCCTCGGCCCCGCGAGGGGCCTCGGGAGCCTCGCCTCGTGGGCCGCCCCCGCGGAGGGCTCCGCGGGAGGCCTCGGGCCGTGGGAAGAAAAGCCAATATACTTAGGTCGGGCCTGTCCTTAGTGGGCCCTGGAAACGGCAAGGCCGTTTTTTTACAGGTTCCGTTTTGCCGTTTTTTTTTTGTTGCCGGTTCCGACGCCGTTTTTGTTACCGGTTCCGTCGCCGTTGTTTGACAAGTTCCGGCTCTGGTTCCAGTCCTGGAGCCGTTTTGTTGCCGTTTCTGGTCGCCGTTTTTTTGCCGTTTCCATTTTCATGGGATATTTTTCTGGAAACGGTAAAAAAAAACCGCCTTGCCGTTTCCGGGGCCCACAAAGGGCCTTTCCCCCTACAGGGGGATTGTGGACGAAAAATTAGAAGTGCTCAGAAAAGATTCGAACGATGTCCATACATATTCAAAAGAATGGTCCCCAGACTATTTGTTTGACTATTTTTGAATGTTCCCCCTGTAGAGGGACAGGACCGACTTAACAATATACGCCATAAGCGTTGACATCGAACGTTACGTCGCTCCCATCGTACTTGAGGACCACATCCCAGAAATGATTTCGAGCACCCAGAAAAGTATCGAAACAGTGTCGAACGAGTGTCGCTTCCCAGGGCCCGACACGTGAAACCCCATCCAGTTTCGGTGCAGTCTTGGTGCTCGAAATTCTTCATGGTGATCAAGGCTGGGTTAGGACATCATAAATGTAGGTACCCCGATCCTTGAGCAGGGACCGACCGTCCCGGCATTCCTATAGTCCTACCACGAAATGTTCTTAGAACCCGAAAATGTTCTAAGAACAAAAACACTGTTCTTAGAACATAAACCCGATGTGCTAAAATAGAACAGACTCCGCCAGAAATGCTCTAATAACATTTCGTGGAAACCACGAAAGGTTCTTAGAACATTGTTTGGTAGGGCTATAGGCGAGCCAGGACGTTTCGCCACTGCTTGAGAGCTGGCGCACGCGCGCGCTGCGAGCCCGCGAACGTCTAGCGCAGATCGCGTGGAGAGGCAGAGGGCTCGCGCAAGTCTCAGTGAAGGGGCCCCAAGACACACAAATAAATGCACACAAATAAAAGGACTCCAAAGATTTTCCCATATTTTCTGGGTTGTTGTCTTCCCCACCACTTCCCATATCTTCCCATATGTTCCACGAAATCGAAGATTAATTGTCTCTGTGTGTTTCTTTCCCTCCTGAAAGTCTCAGGCCGGGGCGGACGAGAGGCCCTGCAGCGCCGAGTGAAGCAGGCGCCGGTGAAGACCTGGGCATGCAGAGCAGCCGTTGGCACCGAGCTGACCAGACTGGTGCAGTGCTCCCCAGGAGAAAAAACGCGTCACAGCTGGGACGTCCATTCCCCGTGCAGTGTTCGATCTCGCGCGGCTTTTTGTCAGCAGCAGTATCCACGATGCAGCTCGATGGCCCCCGTCGAGAAAAACGCACACGTCCGAGCGATGCCGCCTGTGGGCACTGAGCTGACGAAACCGTGGTTCCCCGGGGTAGATCACGAAATGTTGACAGGAAGAGGCCCCCTTGGCTCCAGCCGTGTGCTCAGCGATCCGCCTCTCGCGCTCCCCCAGCACGCCTCCGATTACGCAACCAGCCAACACATGGAGAGCAACGTCGGTACAGTCGGACCTAAGTCGGGGAGACGTAAGACCCGGGTACGGGGGACTCAGAAATCCCCGACGAGGTCGTCAAAAAATGACGAGGCCGAGCCTGCATTTTGACGAGGCCTCCCGCTGCAGACATCCCACGGAACTCCTCCTCGTCAAAATCCGAGGCGCGGTCGTCAAAAAACGATGGCGAACCCGAGTCCCGGCAAACCCGGGTCTTACGCTCCCCCGAGAGAACACGAAACCCTCCACCGGCAAAAATGAACAGCACTCGGGGCACCGTCCCCGGGATTTACAACAACATCCAACAGACACGAGAAACGCTGGGGTACCCTCACCAAACCGGCCTCGATCGTATACCTCGGTCCGACCGTACGCATCCCAAAAAAAAAAAACAAGTCATACCGCCTCATGTGCGACCGCCCAATGGGGTGGCAAGCGACATAACAGGGTTGAGCGAAGGCACAGTCCTCCTGGAACACGCTCCCCGTCGGCAACCAGGCAGAGTCAGTCGGCTCCTGCGTGTGGCTATTCGGGACAATCGACAGGCGAACTATCTGGCGTGCAGGAGAGATGGGAAAAAGACGAGGGCGGCCGCGCGGGGGGAACGGGAGAGGAAAACGCTCAGACGTGGAAGAGTTCCGCGTCAAGCGGGCCGAGTCCGACGAAAACACACACCTTCGCAGCTCCGACCAGGTGTCCTTGAGCTTCAGCGCGGGCTCCGAGTTGAGCGCGTGCACCAGCGACTCGGGCGACAGCCGCTCGTTCTGATCGCAGCGAACCCGCGCCTGGGGAGGGGGGCCGCTGGTGAAGAGGAATCCTCCTCCTCCTCCTCCTCCTCCTCCTCCTCCTCTTCGTCCTCCTCCCCCTCCCCCTCCACCCCTCCTCCATATCCCCCTCCTCCTCCTCCTCCGCCTCATCCTCCTCGTCGTCCTCAACCTCTTCCTCCTTGTCCTCCTCCGCTTGACGCTAGACCGACCTGAGCGTGACCGTTGTGGCGTTTGTGCACTGTTTGAATACATGCATACATTCAGGTGGACGACCCGGCAAAAAAGGACCTGGCAGGCGCCGCAGAAAATGATATAGGAAAAGAAACGGGAAACACGAACCAACAGAATTGGCGCCCGCCAGGTCCGCGAGGTCGGAACTGACCTTCGTGATACGTACTCGAATTAAGTATGACAAACCATTATCATTACCCTTTTAGTGGTAGTGACGCCTCGGATGGCTAGGATAAGAATTAAATGTGGGACGTGTCGCAGTGTAAGCGATCGTCCCTCTGTCGCAGGCGAAGCGCATGCGATCTTCGCTCGTCCAACTCACCGCCACCTCCGATACCCTCTCGTCCGATGCTTCATTGCATGTGCCAGCTGGCGGCACAAAAGAAACAGCCGCGATAGGGAGAAAAAGGAGCAGTGTACATGCATGTGGACGCTGGTGATCACCAGGACAAAAAGTGTCAGATGCTTAGAAACATATGGAAGTGTGAGTGAAGAGTCACCGATGTGTCGGGCAATCAATGAGGCGCACTGTGCAGTGGCAGATCAACGCACAAGTGTTACAGATGACAACGCTGCAAACCTGGAGCACTTTGTTGAAGCAGCCTGTAGCAAGATTAAGCGCCATAGAGCTAGGAATCACCCGAAATGAGGTAGGTAAAACCTGCTTCTGTCGAGGGCGCTCTGTGCGGCCAGAACGTTTACGCGGGCCAAGTGGACGTCTGCGACTGAAGGGAACAGAGAGTCTGCGCGCGCTGAATTGGCAACCGCGCGCGGTCTGGCAAGCTGGCATGTGAGCTCTAAGGCTGGCGAGATGGCAGCAGCGTTAGGCCGGCCTGTGACAAAATAAGGCTGGCCTGAAGGAAAAAGGTGCTGCTGCAAAGCCACAGTAATCCTGCCACCCCCTTCCGTGTCACCGACCCATCAGCCCAGTGTGCCACTTGAAAAAGAACGATGGACGTAATAAGCTTTGCGCGGTCCCTCTTGCCAATGGCAGTCCCGCTCTTGTAGTCAGCAGTAGGCCCGCTCTTCTGTTCCTAGGTGGAGGGGCCACCGTCACCGTATAAATGTCAAGAGTGCGGGAGTAGGTACGCGGAATGGGAGCGAGAAAGTCAACGGCGTGCGGTATGGTAGGCTGGCCTGTGCGGTCTAAGGCTGGCCTGTGAACAACACTGACCATTACCGTTCCTCTAACTGTGTGGTGCAAGTTGCCAGCAAAGTTAGGCCGGTCTGTGACAAGATGGGGCTGGCCTCGAATAGTACTGCTGTGCCAACTGTTAAACATAGGCAGTGATGCAATGACATTGTATGGGTGTGCTCCCTGCGCGAAGCCTGGAGCACCTTGCAGAAGCAGGCTGCAGCAAAATGCAACATCCGAGGAGAAGGTACAAACAGTAATCCGACGTGGAAGCCGAGGTAAGCACGGGGTGCTTATGTATAGTGCATTATGTGCTGCCAGTACACTTACATGGGCAGAATGCTTACGCAGACGGCTGAACAAAAATACCTTAGCGTATCTGTTGGCTGAGTGCCCTGGCAACACGGAGGTGGGTCGCGTTAAATAAGTTGCGCCAGTAGACTGCCATAGATATGCTCAACACTAGTGTATGATGCTCGACCCGTGCCGTGGGCAGCTGTAAAAAGAGGACACCTTCAGCGCTACGCAAAGTGTCGCTCTCAGGGCATCCTCAGTCTCATTGGGTCTGAAATGAATGGATGGAGCACCTTGGGCGTCCCTCAAAATCGGCAGTGAGTGTCGTACGCGATCGGAAGAAGATAAAACCTCGACAACAAAACCATAGGAGGGAATCCATGCGGTAGTACGCGTGGCCTAACACACATGTCGCACACTTCAAGCTGCACTGTGGGTAATGTTGGAGGACCCCGAACATTAGCACTGAAGAGACTCCTCCGTGAACAAGGTATATGTGGGATGACTCGCACAGTGACGGAGTGTGCACGCTGTGGGCATAATGCTGGAATATGGTTTTGTGAATGTTCCTTGACCTTCCTCCTTTTCCTCCTCCTCTTTGTCCTCCTCCTCCTTACCCTCCTCCTCGCCCATCCTCCTCTTCCTCAGCCTGTGGCCCATGTGCGCCGCAGTGGGTCACAACCCCCAGAGGAAAAATAAACACAACACACACACACACACACACTGCGATGTCGAATCCTACCCCGTGCGGACTGGAAGCATCCCAGCTCTCAAAGGGAGGCCAAACGTTGCGCACAAGGCCGGTACTCCAGCCGACAACTCGCGCGCCTTTCCTGGGCCGCGCTGCCCAGGTAGGCTCCACGGCTGAACCACGACGATTTTTTCCCAAAAGTCCCTGCCAACAATCTGCTCGGCATCGTTCGGATATATTCGGATGCATGCTGGGATGCTTACGCTTGGAGGCTGGCGTGATGCTCGAGCGCGAAAGATACCCGCACCCGTGCCCAGGCGGGGTGGCAAGGGGCGGGGGGAGCGACGCGCCGCAACCGAAGGCGGTTGCACAAGTGCAAATGCGACGGCCCACGGGACATTACAGGACGCTGTCTTCTCTAGGCATCCGCTGGCACCGAAGGCGCGCGCGTTCCAATCGGCAGAGTGGCCGACCACTCATTGGTCGCTCTCGGGCTAGATTAGCTCGTTCGGAGGGGCGCCCACGAACGCACAATCAATCGTTTGGGGCCCGACGCGCAAAATGCGTCCTGGGTGTCCTGGGCGGACGCCGCTGCAATCCCGCGCTCGCTCCAAATGCCCAGGTTCCGAACGCCAGGCGCGGTCGCCAGGGGCTGCTCCCTGGAAAACCCGCCTGGCGTCACCCCAGCTAAGTCCGGGTACGTGTCGGGGGGCGCAGTCGCCGACGCGCGTTGATGGCGCCTCCAGACACGTACCCGTGCCTAGTCGAGGTGGCGCATGGTCGAAATCGCTCTCGGGTGCACGCGCGGCCGCGCGGCGCCCCAGAGCGCCCCCGAACGCGGCCGCAGCGGCCCCCGGGGGAACGCGAAATTGGAACGACCCTTTTGCGGGCAGGCCCAAACGCAACGCAGACACCACCACCCCAATGTTGTTCTACACCCGCGGACACCCCCGACGAGGGCATGTCGCTGCAATCAAACAAGCAGCCGTTCATCGCGTCGTTGCGTCCTGACGCGCGGATGCTGAGCCATAGCGCGCGCGGCAGGCTGACTGGGCGCAGTGGCAAGCGCGCAATCCAGCTGACGGCCCTTTCCACCCAGGCCGACCCCGGGTAAGGGCATGTTTAGGACCAGCGAGGATGGGCACAGACCTTGAATCACATTGCATTCGTTTGTGATTTGTTGTTTTGCGGTGACGTGGGAGATGAAATGCAAAGTCTCCAGCCCCCCTTTACAAGCCACCCCCCCCCCCCGCCTGGCAGGACATGAAAACCATCGCCTGTCGGGGGGGGCGTGCGAAGTCGGCCCCCTCACCGACCCTTTTGAACCGCGACCGGATTCGCGCCCCCAGGGCGAAGGCCCGCGGCCGATCACACAGGATCTGCCCTCCCCAAGCCGCGACGTCTCAAAAGTTAAGAAACAGCCGCGCCCACGAGGCCGCGACCCCTGCGCTCTCAGGCCCACATTCCAAATTAAGAAAAAATCTGAGCCCAGACTGCAACTGCCCCCGATGCGCTGCGATCGGTCCGCGCGTCCGCCCCTTGGGCCACGACTCCGATAACTGGCAAATGTCCCCGCCCCCGCGGCAACGACCCCACGCAAATTACTAAGCGATCCGCGCTTTCGGACCTCTCTGGTGAATTTACGTGGCCCCGTGGTCTGCTGGTGCCCCGCACCCATGGCTACAGCACATTGGGAATTACATATAAAAAGGATCTGCGCTTCCAGCGACATGGCCCATCAACATCCTTTGCTGGTTGCCCCCCTGGCCGCGAACCATCATTAACTTCTGAGAGCCCAAGGATTCACGACATGGCCAGGTGTTCATGAGATCCACGCCCCCAAGGCCACGGCCCCTTTGTGAATCACCATGGGTCCGCGCCCACCGGGCAACGCCCTTGTCCATTGCAATGAGTCCCGGCTCCCAAATCCACATTCACTTTGGAAATATAAGATGGCCCGCTCCCCGCCCTCCGCAAATTCTGTTTGGACATTCGCAACATGGCGAGTCCTGCTGGTCATTGACATTTCTGGACGCACATTTGATCAGAACGCGGAGTGATGGATGGACCTCGAACGTCGTGCATTCGTGCATCTGCGCACCGCAAAATCCGAAGTACCAAATTGCATGCGCCTGCAAGGCCTTTGGAATCCCCTTCCTGACGCGGACTGCGCCGTCACAGTTCACAACGCAGGAAAGGAAGAGGAGGGGGGGGGCAGGCGGATGCGGGGGATTGAGAGGGAATGGGCAGGCCATCACAGCACGCGACGCCCCGTCCCCGAACCGAGCCAAGACTCCAGGAAGCCCCTACCAGGACTGGTTTGTGGCGGGGCGGAGCCATTGAAACAGCCGACGCGACCTGCCCCAGAACACCGTTTAGGCCCCAGGGCGACGCGGGGAAAAAAGGCCAGTCCATGCCTCGCTGGCATGCCTGGCAAATCTGCGACGAAAAAGGAAACGCCGGCGGCGCGCGATCTCGCGCCCCGCCTCTCGGGCCCCGTCGACCCCGCCCCCCCCCCCCCCCGATCCAGAACGGCCCGAGACGGGGGACAGGCCGTCGCTCCGACGTCCATTTCGGGGTGGTTTTTGCTCGCCGAATGGTCGAGGATGCCCCTCGAAGGTCCTCGCCGAAATCAACAGAATGCACAGGGAGAAACCAGAAGCCAGGGGCGGGGCAGGAGTGGCAGGGCCCCCCCCCAGGGCCCCCCCCTCCTCGCCCACGGCCGCCCCAGGACCCCCGGGAGAGGCCAAGAGAGAGCCGAAGGGAGGTCGCGAGGGTTCGGGCCCGTCGGACCCGAGCCCAGCTCAGCGTCGACGACACCTCCGCCTCGGACTCCCGCAGTCCAAAGCGTTATGAAGGACGCGCGAGTTGTTCCGGGTTCCCCTTGCGTCCTTGCTCTTCCTTGCGCTTGCGCCCTCGAAATTTTCGTCGTCCGCCGCCCCAAAAATCCAAACTTCGGCTTCCAAGGGTCTGGCGTCCTCACCGCGCGCCCTCATTGGGGTTTTTGACTGCGCGCGGACCCCGAGTTCCAAGATGTTACTGACCAGGCGGTACTTCTGAGCGCAGGCGTCTCTACTCCAGACGGGGCGGGTACGATGCGCGGCCCCAGTCTTGGCAAACCTCTCTGCTAGGTTGCTTCCCTCCCCACCTCGCGCGCCATATCGTTTCGCGCTCGACGCGCGTTGCGCGGGCCTTCACTTTGCGCGCGTGGACTGCGCGCGGGCCCCAACCGCCGCGCTCGGCGAGGGCCTCGAAGATCTGCTAGGTGCTGGCGGCTGAGCCTGTCGAGCCAGCTCGGACCTACCAGCGCACTGTCGACCACGCACTGGCAGTCGCGGGAGATCCTCATGGGCGACGCCCCCATTTTCAGCGCCTGCAGCCGCGCGTAGAGCTCCGTTCTCAAGATGCATTGGGTCTACTGTGCGCCAGGCGGCGGTCACGCGTTGCGCGCGTTGAATTCGTCGCTGTCAACCTGCGGCATTGCGAAGCTCTGGCCCTCTCGTCGCAGCGGCGCGTGCTTGCCGTGCTGGAGCGAGCCGCCCACGTAGATGCCCCCTGTCGCCAGGCCGACCCAGTCGCCCTCTGTGGGCCAGTCGTCGCGCGACTCCAGGCGCCAGAGGCCCAGCTCGGTGGCGGGGTCCACTGCGACGCCTCGCACCCATTGTCCTCCAGCCCATTGTCCTGGCCATGAGTTAGCACCTCGTTGTTGCATGTGCAGGCACCCCACAATGTCACGATGCTGCTGGCGGTCTGGGCGCGCACGCGCATGCGCGACGTCGGTCGGTACCGTGAGCCAGCCCGCATGCTCGAATTAGGTCGCAGGGCGCCGCTCCTTTCGCGTGGAGGCGCGCCAGCGGCCGCATGCCCCCACAGAATAGTCCTCGAAATCCCCCGCGATGCGCCTGTGTCCGGCGGCCTTTCAGCGGCCGCATGAGGAAGGATTGAATCGGCGCGAGGAGGATGGAGTTGATGCCGTACCGGTGGCCGCCCTGCTTTACCCACTCGTCTTTCAGCTGCTGCTCGGTGGTGCTGGCAACGAGGTAATGTATATCCTGCAGCTTGGTTGCCGGTCGTACTCGGCGTCGCCGATGGTGATTGCGCGCGCCGCCTGCGCCATCCAGCCCAGGCGCCTCGCCGTCGCCACGAGGGCGCCTGCAGGTCCACGGACTGTAAGCCATGCGCTGCGGGGCCCCTCTGCCAGCTGCGCGCCATTGAGGGCATCCTGCCACGCAGTAGGTCCACGCCAGGATGGGCCCGCTGTTGGCCAGGTTGCCTGGGTCGACTCCGTCGCTCCGCAGCGCGAGGTTGGTCGATTTGCCTTTGCTGTCGCCCTCCATCGCTGCCGCCGCGCTCGCCCACAGCTCATTGAGCTCGGAGTGCGCCATGCCGACCGTCGAGGAGCCGTGGGGGAGCGCGGGCGCCTTGGCATGACTCACCAGCGCGTGTGCCGCCCTTCCTGCGTTCCGCACGGCTGCTACCCATGCCTTGCTGCAAACTTGAGTGCGCGCTTCTTGATGGCCGCCACTCGTCTGCGTCTACACACCGTCGTTGTGACTCCCAGGTGCTTCTCGTGCTTGGCGGCTCGCACGCCAAAGTGCCTGGTGGCCACGCACAAATGATGACCAACCGCGGCGGTGGAGACCAAGGTGACCGCATTCCCCTCCGCGCCCCTAGAGACGGCCATGTCCAGTGTCCCCTCGGAAATGCTGACCGCGGCCGCGATGAGCCGCCGGTGGAAGTGCCCGGCGAAATCGCGGATGCCGCGCGTGGCCACGGCGAGGCAGTCGAAAAATAGACAGGTGTCTGCTCACGGGAATTGGCGCACGAGCTCGTCAAACTCTAGGATGATATCCATCTTGAAGCAAAACGGCGCGTACCTGCTGCCCGCGGCGCTGCCGCGCTGCCAGGCCTTGCCCTCCGTGTAGCAACCGTCCAACACGATGCGTCGCACCATGCAATATATCCGGAGGACGACGCACATGATGATGGGGTTAAAACCCCACCGCCTGGCCGCCTCTCAGACCTTTCGATGCGTGACCCACTCGAAGCACTTGACCAGGTCAAATTACGCCACCGCGTGCTCGTAGCCGTCGGCTCGCGTTGCTTCGAAGCACAGCGACTGCAGCCATACTGCTCGCTCCGACGACCGCCCACGCCGAGCCCAGTCGTAGGCTCTCTGGTTGGCGGCCTTCCAACGCCTAGCGTAGGGGATACGGATGGTCTCCCACACGCGCCCCAGCTCGGGGATGAGGCAGGCCCATGTTGCGGAAGCCCCCCGCGGCCTTCTGCATCAGACAGAAGAGGATGGTGGCCTGTGCTGTGGGCCACGGTTCCCTTCGCTCCACCACGTTCAGCACGCTGGCCACACGTGCTGCTCTTTGGGCATGTTGGCGCCTCCGCGACAACACAGGCCTCGGGGACGCCAACTGGCATCCGCGCCTGTGGCGACAGGGAGGAGGAGGAGGAGGAGGAGGAGGAGGAGGAGGCGGAGGAGGAGGGGGGGCGGAGGAGGAGGAGGAGGAGGAGGAGGAGGACCATGAAGAGGAGGGGGCGGGGGAGGGGGAGGGGGAGGGGGAGGGGGAGGATGGGAGGGGAGGGGGAAGGTGGAGAAGGAGGAGGAGGAGGAGGAGGAAGAGGAGGACGACGAGGAGAAGGAGGGCGACGAGGAGGAGGAGGAGGAGGAGGAGGAGAAGGACGCGCGGTTCCAGTGTCTCTGCAGCTAGCGGGGCTAACTAGAGAGCCTGGGTGGACGTTGGGCGCCATCTGCCGTGGAACCTCCCCTTTCGGGAGGTGCCGGTTCTGAGGTTGCAAATCTGCTCTGAGGTTTCTCAGAGCAAGTTGAACGCAGTCGGATGAAGCCCAGGTGGCTGGCCCATGACAAGAGGCCATCAACACCGGGGACTGCCGCGTGGATGCGGATCCACCGCAACTGAAGCAATAAACAAACGAGCCCTCCGACACCAGATGGTGGCCCTGGATGACCTCCACAACTGGCTCTGGGGCCCTGGGCGGGGCCTCCCCTATACGGGGACCAACAAGGAGCCCGCTGGAAGCCCCGCCCACGACAGACGGTTCCTCGGCCCCGCTGGGGGCCACCGGCCGATGCCCCCGGCTCGCAGCCGGTCCCCCTCGGGGTCCCGAGAGGGGCCGCGACCCAAGGCGGACGAGGCCACCCAGAAGACCCCCCCGACGCAACGGCCTCCCCGCCGCTCGCGTCACGAATCCAGATGCTGTCGCGCCCTCAGGATGGGCAGCAGCCCGGGCACGGGCCAAGGCCGCCCTGGGGCCCGCATCGGGCGCCCGCCGCAGGGGCAGGAGGAGGAGAAGCCCCTGGAGGCGAGGCCGGCCTTGCTCATGAAGTCCGCCTCGTCGATGTGGCAGCCGTACTTCAGGGCCAACATGTCCTGGATCACCATGCACACGGCGCCCAGCGGACATGTTCTGCCCGGCTCTCCCACCTGATGGAGGGGAAGAAACATTGACATAAACATAAAAAGTCGGAGGTAAGCCGGCCAGAGACACCCGATGGGCATGGGGCTTCATCCACCGATGCTGGAGGACGAGAGCAAACCCAGGATGCATGATAGAAGAAGAATGCCATCAACAGAAACTTTGGCGCTGCGCGCGGATTGTTTGGATCCGCGCGGGGCCCCCTCCCTGGCGCGCTCATCGCGCCAGGGGCGGCGCCATCGCGCCAGGGAGGGGGCCCCCGCGCGGATCCAAGCAGTCCACGCGGAGCGCCAAAGGCTTCTGTTTATGGTGGATATTTCCTTTTTCGACATCAGCGACGCTGCAAAAAAAACACCCTCCCGCTCCGAGCCCCGGAGTCGTCGTCGTCGTGGTCGTGGTCGTCGTCTTCGTCGTCGTCTCCCTTCAGGGTCGGCGGCACAGGCCGTAAGGCCTTCGCAATACACCCTCCCGCTCCAAGCCCCGGATTCTTCAGCAAGGGCTCCATCTCTGGCTGCTGGAAGCACCACGTCGGAAGACGAGCCCACTATGGGCCTGCTGTCGGGCGAAAGCCTCGTTTGGCGGCGCGCACAAGGGTGTAGGGAGAGGTGGGAAGGCTCCTTAGAAGGAAGCTGCTTCGCAGAAGGCGCCGGCCTTACGTCTATGGGAAAGCCCTGCGCTTTTAAGAAGACCTTCCCTCTACGAACCCCCGGCTGAGACTGACGCTGTCCAAAATTGGGCAGGGACCGACCGTCCCGGCATTCCTGTATTATGCCTACCACGGCATGTACGTAGCACCCCGCAATTGCGGATAAGAGTGAGGGGGCGGGCGCGGGCGACGCGGGCGTCGAGCCGGCGGACCTCGTGACCCTCACCTTCCCTGTCGATGGCGCTCTCCTCCTTCTCCTCCTCCTCCTCCTCCTCCTCCTCCTCCTCCTCCTCCTCCTGCTCGTCCTCCTCCTCTTCCTCGTCCTCATCGTCGTCGTCGTCGTCGTCCACCTCCTCCTCCTCTTCCTCCTTTTCTTCCTCCTCCTCCTCCTCCTCCTCCTTCTCCTCTTCCTCCACCATCACGATCCTCCGCCCGCCTCCTTTCCGTCCTCGTCGTACTTCTCCGCCTCCCCCTCCTCCTCCCTCCTTTCTCGTCGTCCCCCTCCGTCCCCCCTCTCCTTTTCCTCCTCGCCCTCGTCGTCGGCCTCCTCTTCGTCCTCGTACTCGTCGTCGTCGTCGTCCTCCTCCTCCTCGTCGTCGTCGGTCGTCGTCTGCCTCCTCCTGCTCCTCGCCCTGCTCCTCCTCCCCTCCTCCACGGCGCGCGCGCGCGCCGGGGGGGTGGGTCGCGGGCTTGTTCAATGAACGTAGTTTGGGTCGCGGGTGGGTCACGGGCTCTCCACCTCCTCCTGGAAGGAATTCAAAAACAGCCCGCCGCAGGCGCCGAACATTTTGATTTGTATACTGAATGCGGTTTGGGTCGCGGGTGGGTTGCAGGTTCTCCACTTGGAACGAATGCAAAAGAAGCCCGCCGCAGGCGCCGAACATTTTGGGTGGGTCGCGGAGTGGGTCGCGGGTGGGTCGAGGGTGGGTCGCGGTGGGTCGCGGGTGGGTCGCGGGGGGTCGCGGGTGGGTCGCGGGGTGGGTCGCGGGTGGGTCGCGAGTGGGTCGAGGGTGGGCCGCGGGTGGGTCGCCGGGGGGGGTCTCGGGGTGGGTCGCGGGCGGGTCGCGGGGTGGGTCGCGGGTGGGTCGCGGTTGGGTCGCGGGTGGGTCGCGGGGTGGGTCGCGGGTGGGTCGCGGGGTGGGTCGCGGGTGGGTCGCGGGTGGAGCGCGGGGTGGGTCGCGGGGCGGGTCGCGAGGGGGACGACGACAACAACAAACAACACACAACAAACAACAAACAACAAATAAAACAACAAATACAAAAAACAACAACAACAGCACCACCAACAATAGCAATAATCCGCATCGCGGAATTCAATTTCAGCCACGCACCCAAGGACAGTGAATGACCGTTCGGTTTAGCCCCCTCACTCTGAGATAGAACCCAGGAATGTTCTCAGAACAACTCCAAAGTTCTTGGAACATAAACCCGATGGATCAACGCAAGACAGTCTCAGCCAGAATTGTTCTAAGAGCATGTCGTGCAAACCACAGCAAAGGTCCTTAGCACACTCTTTGGCGGGCCTATAGGCAAGCCTAGACGCTTCGCCACTGAAACATATGCCCGATGCATCAAAACAAGACAGGCCCAGCCAGAACTGTTCGAAGAGCATGTCGTGCACACCACAGCAAAAGGTTCTCAGAGCATATTCTTGGGTGCGACGAAAGCCGAGCCAGCACGCTTCGCCACTGCAGGAGGCTGAGACCCCACACCCTCGACGTCATGATTGTTTCATTACGTCGACCCCTGGAGGTCTCGACCCATTCCCATGCGCCGGGTTTTCTTCATGAGTCGTTGTTCGACGGCCCCGAGGGCCGGCAAGAGCCCCCCGAGGTCGAAAATAGCAGAAAACCTCCCGTTGTGATCTGTCCCTGATGGTCCGCTACCGAAAATTTCCGGTAGCGCTCCGCAGAGATCGGTCGCTACCGAAATACCGAAATGTAGCGCCCAATATCGGTATCAGACCGTTCTGAAATCCGCTATTTCAACGCCCTCAAACGAAGATCCGGTCGCTACCGAAATTCGGGGTGCGTCGAAATCGCTACCGAAAATTTCCGGTACCAGACCATCTGGGGTCCATACCCGAGGGGGTCTGGAGACCGAGACTGACGCTTTCCAGTAGCCCGGGCCCACGTCCCCCGGCGGGGAGCCCAGGCGCCCCCGGCTCGTGCGCATGGCCGCGGCCGCGGCCGCGCGCACACGCGCCGCGGCCGAGTGCGCGCGGCGCTGGCGCGGGGGCCCCCCGGCGCGCGCGCGCCCCCAGCGGCGGCCGCTGCGGAGCGCCGAGGACAGGACAGGAAGTCTGCGTGCCGGCTCCGGTAGCCGGAGCGGTCCCCTGAGGGGCAGGCGTGCGCATGGCAATGAGGCTTATTTTTCCAGAAGAGGAGATAACACTTCGCATCCGAATTCGTCCGTGGGCTGGCGAGACAGGCTTTGGCAAAGCGCAGCCGATACCACCACAACGCCACCGCGCAAGTGGGTGGGGGAGGCGGAGGTCGAGTCACTCTCCCCGTTTCTCCCACATTGGCAATTAGGAAGATGCATCAAGTGAAACGCGTGCATGGAAGGCCGCTCTTGAGACGAACCTCTCCATCTCTCAGCCGAGGTCGCCCTCGAGATCGCTTGCCGCCCGTCCGGAGCCGGAGCGCCGAGGGGGCGCCCCAGACATGATCGCGTCGTGACAAGAATCCAGACGGGAGGTGTTTGGCCAAGTTCGGCCTCGAGGGTCCCTCGCAGGGCCCCTGGGGCCGACAAAAAACAACCCAGGCTGAGAAGCCAGGGGAAGGGGTCGGGACTCCCGCGGACCCCGCATGGAGAGCATCAGGACGTCGCATATCTGAGGCTGGTGCGGGACGGGACGGGACGCCCTGCAGACCTCGGCGCTGCAATCCCAGACCTCCTCGCGTCGTGACAGAAATCACGACGGGGAGGTTCTCGCTACCTGTTCGGCCGCCGCGGGGGCCCTTCTCGGGGCCCCGGGACGCCAAGGAACGACGCGGGGGGAGAAACCCGTCCCGGGGAAGGGGGCCAGACCTCTGGGGGTCGACGTTGCGAAAGAAACGCGACGTCGGGGATCTCTTCTTGTTTTTCTCAGAACATGCATTTCGCCCAGCTTCGGGTCCCCGGGCCCTCACAAATCGATCCGGCTCGGAGAAGGACACAGGAAGATGGGGTCCGAGGCTCCGATGGTGATTCGTTTTGCGATGTTGCAGTTTTTCTGCAACGCTGGATGTGAGGGCGGGATCCCCGGGGGGGCCCAGTCACGAATCGACGAAAAAAACATAAACATAACCGTTTGGCGCTCCGCGCGGATTTCTTGGGTCTGCGCTGGAGCCCCGGGGCCCCCTGGCCGCGTCTCCGGCGCTGCCTCTGGCGCGCTCCGCGCGCCAGGAAGGGGGGGGTCCAGCTCACGTCAAAGAGATCTATCTGCGCGGAGCGCCCAAAGTTTCTGCTTGTGGCGTTCTTCCTCCCTCTAACGAAAAAAACTGCTTCGTCGGAGGAGCGGGTGTTCCTCCGCCCGGCTCGGGAACCGCGCCGAGGAGAGCTCTGGGCTGGAGCCGCGGCGGCTCGTAGCGGACCCTCGGGGGCGGGCGGATACATACTCGGGGCGGGCTGCCTCGGCGCCAGAGGGCGCCTGGGGCGGGGTGGGTGGGCGGCGCGCACAAGGGGGTAGGGGGAGGGGGGAAGGCTTCCGAGCAGGAGGCTGCTCCTTATAAGGCGCTGGCCTCACATCTATCGACAAGGCCCGCGCCTTCTAAGAAGCCGAGCCTGCCCCCCTCCCCCGACCCCCCTCTGCGCGCCGCCAAGGGGGGGTGCACCTCGGAGGCATCGCTCCGCGGGTGCTGGCCGGCGGCTTTGTTGCCTATCAGGCTGGCCGTGCCCACGGATCTGCGAGTCTGTTGCCGCGGCTGCTGGCTGCTGCTGGTGCTGCTGGAGCTGATGCTGCTGCCGGCGCCCCTCTACACACAGCCCTCTCCCGATCGCTGGACCGAGTGGTCTCCCCTATCTCAAGGGACCCAAGGACACACAAATGAATACACACAAATAAGAGGATTCCCCATATGTTCTCATATGTTCAGGGCTTTTGTCTTCCGCCCCACCTCCCATATGTTCCCATATCTTCTGGGGAATCCACAATTAATTCTGTCTGTGTGTGTGTGTGTTTTCCCCTCCTGACTATCACATGGCGCAACGTTTAGCCACGGCGGAAGTTCCAAAAGGCAGGGAGAGGCAGTGGCTCGCCGTCGGTAACTCGATTAGGCGTTCTCGCTGGTCATTGCAACGATGCTCAACGCGCCGATAGGGTCCCCGCCCGGCGGTGTGGCGATAAACTCTGACCCCACAGGGCAATTCTCCAGACAGCCAACAAGAAACAGTGGTCTTGTGTGGTGCCAGGTGGACCTCGATCCCCAACGGGCGCGCACCGCGCGCAGCGAGAGCCCGCGGACAAAGAGAGACGTGGACGCGTGCGGGGCGGGTCGAGCCCGTCGGCCAGACAGTGCCAGAGACCCGCCGGCAGGGCGACGCTGCACACACGGTCACGCCAACATTCGAGGCCGACTTCTGGCCCAAGGACGGCACCCGAAGCTGCCACTGGAACGCATCCCTTCCGCAAGACGACAATCTGCTCGACTCGGCGCACCCCTTCACAGCAGCCTCTGGGGTGGCCCAGGCCGGCGGCCAGCGGCCGACTGCAATCCGTGTGCCACTTAGGTTTGGGCCGGGCATGTCCTCTTTCAGGCGGCTTTGGTGCGAAAAATGAACAACAGACAAGCAATGCCCAAAAAGAATCAAACAATGCCCAAAAACAATGAACAATAGTCAAGCAATGCCCAATAAAAAAATCAAAGATCATCGACAAATCGTTTGCACATTCCTCCTGTAGAGGGACGCGCCCGACTTCACGCCACGGCTCGCAGTCCTCCCCAGACCCGCCCCGTCTCCGGCGCGCGCGCGCGCGCCCCGCGTCCAAGAGCGCCCGCGCCCCGCCCGGCGAGGGGCCTGCGCCCCGTACGTCGTCGTGAAGTGCTCCGCCGAAGCTCGGACGCCTCCGGTGTAATCCTGGGCGCCCAGACCCCCTCGAGCCATGACCAAAACCATGACGGGACGTGTTCTCTCACTACTGCGGGCAATACTTCTACGTATCCATATCCAGAGCGTCGTGGACTTGTTGGGAAGGGGTGCCGCAAGGCCGAGACACACTGGATATGGAGAAAAATCAAACCTTCTGAGGCAAGATTGTTAGCCATATCCAGTGCGCCTCTGGCTTCTGGGGAAGAGAGCCCAAAGCTCCGAGACGCACTGGATGTGGATATGACTATTGCCCGCAGCTATCTTCGGCCTCTGCGGGGGCCCTCGCTCGGCCCCGGGACCGCCAAACAACGACGCAGGATGCGAAAACCGGCCCCGGGAAAGGGGCCCAGACCTCAGGGGGGGTCGACGCCATAAACATCGTGACGTCGGGGGCCTGGGGGAGCGGCTTGAGGAGGGGAGTCTGGCAAACCAGACACCGCTCGGGCGTTGGCAGAACTGGGTTTCGTAGAACCTGGTGTAGTGATTTGTACCGGGGGCGCCCCCCCGCCCCATCTGCACTCACCCGGACTGCCGCCACCCGAAAAACACCAGCTACGGCAGACCTGGTCTAGTGAATCTGGCCAATTGAGGGGTCCCAGGGCCCTACCACTAACCGGGCCCGGGTCCCCTTACCCAGGGCCCTCACTGTACCCGAACCTCCTCCTCCTTCTCCTCTTCCTCCTCCCTCTTCCTGCTCTTCCTCCTCCTCTTCCTCTCCTCCTCCCTCTTCCTCTTCCTCCTCCTTCTCCCTCTTCCTCCTCCTCCCTCCTTCCTCTTCCTCCTCCTCCCTCCTTCCTCTTCCTCCTCCCTCTTCCCGGGGTCTGGCCGTACCCGAACCGCAGAGAGAGAGAGAGAACTGCTCCTCCTCCGGGGACGCCCTGCCCCCGGCACGAGCGTGCTTACTCTGCCCGCTCCCCGGCCGAGGCCGGGGCCCCAGCCGAACACCCCTGCGGGAACACAAAGTCCGACCTGGTGCGACCGCCGGGCGCCGCCCAGGATCCAGCAGCATCGGCCCGGGTGCAATGAAGGGGCCCTGGGACACACAAATGAATACACACAAGTAAAAAGATGTCCCCTATTTTTTTATGTTTCCCATATTTTCCCCTATTTTCTTGGGAATCGACGATGAATTGTGTTTTTCCCTCCTGATGCAAGGGGATCGGATGGGGATGCGCGGCGTCGGACCGGGCCGCCTCGGCACGGAGCCGGACTCGAAGCGGAGCCTTCGCGCCAGGAGGCACCGCCCACCGCCCCTACGAGAGCGCGTTTTTTCTCATTCGGCGCCTCGACCCTGGGCGGAAAGGGGGGGGGAGAGGGGCGGGGTCCGGCTCCAGGCCTCTGCTTATAATGCTGCGGGCTGCCTGCAGGAGCGCTGCCTCTGGAGGGGAGGCTCCGCCCGCTCGAAAAACAAAGGCGCGCAACAAAAACAGCCAAGGTCCACCCCATCATAGGGGGTCGGGGTGGGTGCGAGGGCCCGCGCCGATCGGCAACACAACGAACAAGCAAAAACGATCCCCATAACTACGAATATCGGGCCGCACCAGATCAGCGGAATATCGGCTTCGCATCGCATCGGGCCGGCGGCAACCCGACATCGGTCAGGGCTGCTTGGATCGAACTGCAACCTGGATAAGCAAGGGGTCGTCGAAGCATGGCCAGTCTCTTCGGAGCTCCATGGAATGCACTCCCGCTCGCCTCAACCCACCCTGCGGCCCCGCTCAAAGCTCCGACGTCGTCATGAACACGCAAAACCCACGATCTGGACCCCTTTTCCTGTGCTGGGGAACCCAATCTGCGTCCCGACCGTCGTTTTGCCCACCTCAGGGCCCAGCAGGAAGGGCCACCACCAGGAGCTGCGAATCGTCCACCAACTCCCGCTGCATAGCGTGAGTGTTGGGGAACTGGGCCCCCGCCGCGGTGCCCCCTGGCGGCTGCTGGGACGACAGGGGGGCGGATATAGCCAAGGGTGGGGGGTCCGAGTCTTAAGTCGGGCCTGTCCCCCTACAGGGAGATTTTCGAGAAACCCAGAAATAATTAAAAAATATCAAAAAATACTCTGGGGACTATGTTTTAAGCATTCCTTTTGCATTTTTGGAGTATGTGTGGGGTCTTTTTTATGTTTCATAGAAAATCCCCCTGTAGGGGGACAGGCCCGACATAATCCGAGTCAGCTCACGAGACTGCCTTCCGAATTTCGGGTTGGGGGGGTACGGGTTCCACGTGTTTGTCAGTGTTCCCCGACCCCCTCCCCACTGGAAGTGGAGGGCAAATCGGGGCCTTCGGGTTGGGTTGGGGTGGTTTGGTGGGTGGTGAAGCCAAGGGTGGGAGGGTCCGAGTTAGCTCACGAGGCTGTCTTCCCTGGCGCCTCCTGGCGCCACCAGGAGGCGACAAGAGGCATCGAGGCGCGCGCGCCCGGCGGCGGGGCCGACGCCACCTGCACGCAGCAGCACCCCCTCTCCCAAACCCCTCCTTCTCCTCCTCCTCCTCCTCCTCCCCCTCCTCCTCCTCCTCCTCCTCCTCCTCCTCCTCCTCCTCCTCCTCCTCCTCCTCCTCCTCCTCCTCCTCCCTCCGCCTCCCCTCCTCCTCCTCCTCCTCCTCCCCTCCCCCTCCTCCTCCTGCTCCTCCTCCTCCTCCTCCTCCTCCTCCTCCTCCTCCTCCTCCTCCCCCTCCTCCTCCTCCCCCGCTCCTGCTCCTCCTCCTCCCTCTCCTCCTCCTCCTCCTCCTCCTCCTCCCTCTCTGCTCCTCCTGCTCCTCCTCCTCCTCCTCCTCCTCCTCCTCCTCCTCCTCCTCCTCCTCCTCCTCCTCCTTCTCCCCCTCCTCCTCCTCCTCTCCTCCTCCTCTCCTCCTCCTCCCCTCCTCCTCCTCCTCCTCCTCCCCCTCCTCCTCCTCCTCCTCCTCCTTCCCCCTCCTCCTCCTCCTCTCCTCTTCCCTCTCCTCCCCTCCTCCTCCTCCTCCTCTCTCCTCCTCCTCCTCCTCATCTTCCTCCTCCTGCTCCTCTCCTCCTCCTCCTCCCCCTCCCTCTCTCCCTCCCTCCACGCCCGCGCCGCCGTCGACACAGAAAGCGATGCTCCAAAAGGGTGGTCGGGCAAGGACTGCCACACCAGTCTCCCAGGACCACGTCCAGCAGCGTCCGCTACGCGCACACCCTGGCGGTTGCCCCCCCCCCCCCCCCCGGCTCTGGATTCTCCCGATAATTATGTGGCCCCCGGACGCCCAGCCAGAGTCATTGTCTGACGGGTCAGTCCAGGGGCCCAGCGAGGTCGACCCCTAGAGGCCTGGACCCCTTCCCCGGGCGAGTTTTCCACCTGAGTCGTTTTCCGACGTAGGAACATCCCATCGACGCTCGTCGGCTCTTGCGAATCGACGCTCGTCGACGCTAAATCGACGCTGATCGACGCTCGTCGACGCTAGATCGACGCTAGACGATACCTAACCGACGCTAAATCGGCGCTAACCGACGCTACAGTGGAGGCCCGGCACCAAGAAACACTCCACAAGAAACCCAGCCCTGAGACCCCAGGACGTTCATCGATTTCTGGTCTGGGAACGTCGCGCTCCCCGTGCCAGAACCATCGAAGCCCAAGAAACCCAGGGCACCCTGGAGGCAAGCAGGGTGCCTCTTGGCATGGGCCCCCCCTGCACTTCGACGCCAAAGCTCCCATGCTTGCTACCGAACAACCCTCTGGCGGCGGGCGCGGCGGGGCTCCCCGACGGCGCCGTGGCCGGGCGGCGCCACGCCCTGGGGGCGCCAGGCGGGCACGGCGCTGGCGGCGAAGTGGTGGCTGTCGCACTCGCCAGCCTCTGGCGGGGGCCGCTGGGTGGGCGCGCGGCAGCTCGCGGGGGAGGGGGAGGAGGAGCAGGAGGAGGAGGAGGAGGAGGAGGAGGAGGAGGAGGAGGAGGAGGAGGAGGGGGAGAGGAGGGAGGAGGAGGAGGAGAAGGAGGAGGAGGGGAGAGGAGGGGGAGGAGGAGGAGGGAGGAGGAGAGGAGGAGGAGCCGGAGGAGGAGGAGGAGGAGGAGGAGGAGGGGGAGGAGGACCCCGCCCGCGCACAGATCTCCGTCAGCGCAGCGGCTGCTCAGTGCAGGAGCGGCTTGGCTCCTCACCTCGGCCTCCCCAGGCCCCCTGGCGTCGGGAACAAAATCACGACGGGAGGCTTCTCGCTATATTCTCTGCCGCTGGGGGCCCTCACTTGGCGGCGCGCACAAGGGGGTGGGGGGAGGGGGGGGGGCTTCTTGGAAGGAGGCTGCTTCTTAGAAGGCGCCGGCCTTGCATCTATAGACAAGGCTCTCGCCTTCTGAGAAGCACGGTGCTTCCAAGAAGCCCTCCCCCCTCCCCCCACCACCCTCTGCGCGTGGCTGACTCACCGGGCCCGGGACCGTGGAAAAACAGGATGAGAAACCGGTCCCTGGGAATGGGCCCAGACCTCCGGGGGTCGACGTCGTGGCAAGAATCAGGACGTCGGGCGTCTGGGCTTGCTCCTCGCCTCGGCCTCTGGGGGCCCCTGGCGGCCGGCGGTGCGGCTTCTGTTCCGTCCCGGGCGGGCTGTCTCCTTCGCCTCGAGAACTCCGCGGCACAGCGGAGCCGGCGGAAGCGTGCTGCGCGGAGGCGGCTGGGGGGTCTGCTCTGGAGGGGCACCAGCAGACCCAAACCAGGCGGGACAGGAGCAGATTCGGCTCTCGAGGCCCATCTGGAGACGGCGGCCCAAGGAGGACCAGGGACGGAGCCTGTGGACATTGGTGCGTGCCTCTCCCCCTCTCGAAACGCTGGAACTAGTGATGCCCCGCCCCCCTCTAAACCCTGAGATCCGACGGCGCGGAAAAATTGGCCCGAGCCTTATGGAAAATCACGACCTGAACCCTATAGAGACCTGACCCCGAGCCCTATAGGAACTCGCGACCTGACCCTGAGACACCGTAGGAAATCACGACCTGAGCCCTAGAGACCCCATCTTTCTGCGCCAGCGTTTGAGCCGGATCGATCTGTTAGGGTCCCCGGGCCCGAGAAAAGGCGAAGACGACCAGCTCGCTCAGGGAACCATGCGTGTACATGCGCCTCTGACGGGATCCTTTCTCTAGAGGCCTCCTAGATGGGGGCGGAGCCGAGGGGGTCGGAGCATCGCGCCGATACATCGCCGATGCATCGCCGATGCATCGCCGATGCATCGCCGATGCATCGTCGATGTATCGGCGATGCATCCGCGACGCACTGCCGACGCTGGCGCTGCATCGGCGACGTCGCTGCGAAGCACATCGGGCCCCACATCGAGCCGCATCGGCGATGCATCAGCGATGCGGCGCGATCCTCCGACCCAGTCTACTCCTACCCCATGTGGGAGGCTTAGAGCCATAGAGCTCAGGGAGCTATACGTGCCCATGCACCTCTGACGGGGTCCTTTCTCTTGAGCAGGGACCGACCGTCCCAGCATTCCTATAGCCATACCACGAATTGCTCTTAGAACCCCAAAATAATATGATAACCAAAATAATGCTCTTAGAACTTAGAACATAATCCCGATGTGCTAAAACAAGTCCAAGGAACATTTCGTGGAAACCACAAAAGGTTCTTAGAAAATTGTTTGGTGGGGCTATAGGCGAGCCGGGACGCTTCGCCATTGCTTGATTATCTCTTCTCCGGGGCGGCCAAGAGGGGGGTGTCCAAGAGGGGGGGGCGCAAATCAGGACCGGCGGCATGTGCGCGGCCCAGCGGGGGGGCCAGGGACGTAATGAAACAAGAAGAGGCGCCATACAATCTGGGGAAATATCCTGGCCCCCGCCCTGATATCCACCCCCCCTGGTCATCACCCCCCTCTTTGCCGCCCCCGACCTGCCCCGGGGGGAGGGGGGGGAGGGTACCGCCAGGCCTGTGGGCACGAAAAACGAAGGGCCTCCTAGATCCTAGATCCTAGACTTAGGTCGGGCACGACCTCCTGGGCGGATTTGGGCAACAAAACTCGCGAACATGGTCAAGAACCCCAAACATAGATAAAGGCAGTCGAACACTAATCCCCTGGCTATACTTGGACTGTGTCTGAATCTTCCGCCCCCGATCTTCGGCCTGGGGCACCGGCCCAGGTCGCGGCTGTGGTGGAAGTGCGGGTCGCGCGCGTCCACTGGGAGGAGGGAGGAGGAGGAGGAGGAGGAGGAGGAGCCGATCTTCGGCCCCCGGGTGCCGAGGTCGGGCCCGGGGAAGCCGAGGAGGCACGGCGGGCAGCCGCCGCGGCGCTCCGGCGGCGCCCCCGCGGCCCCGCCGCGCTCCGGAGGCAGAGCGCTGTCCGCATGGGCCTGCGGCCAGTTGGCGGTGGGGTGCTCGGGAGGGCCTCCGAGCACACGCCACGTACCCAGACCCAGGAGGAGGAGGAGAAGGAGGAAGGAACGAGGAGGAGGAGGAGCTCAGGGAGCTGTACGTGCCCATGCACCTCTGACGGGCCCTTTCTCCCTTCGGCCTCCGGGTGCCGAGGTCGGGCCCGCGGGGAAGCCGAGGAGAGCTCCGGCGGGCAGCTCCGCGGCGCTCCTGCGGCGCCCCCGCGGCCCCGCCGCGCTCCGGAGGCAGAGCGCTGTCCGCGTGTGCCTGCGGCCCGTTGACGGTGGGGTGCTCGGGAGGGCCTCCGAGCACACGCCACGTAATTACCCTTCTGGCCATCGCTCGGACGTCCATTCCCTGTGTTGTTTTGCGGTTTCGTGCGTGGTTTTCTCGCCAAGTGATCGAGGATGATCCTCGATGGCCCTCGCCAAGAAAAAAAAACATACGTCCGAGCGATGCAAAGCCTTAAGTCGGGCCTATCCCCCTACAGGGGAAAAAAGCACCCCCAAAAATGCCCCCCAAAGGTCAAACAAATAGTCAAAAAATAGTCCCCAGACTATTTTGGACTATTTTTTTACTATTTTGGGGGGTATTTTTTATTTTTCGTCGAAAATCCCCCTGTAGGGGGACAGGCCCGACATAAACGTAACCAGACCCCCTGGGGTCATATGACAAAATCAAGAAGGCAACTTTTCGCTCTTTTCAGCCTCTGGGAGCCCTGACCCGGCCTCGGGACCGTCGAAAAACGGCACTGGATGAGAAACTGGTCCCGGGGAGGGGGTCCAGGCCTCTGGGGGTCGACGACATGAGAGCATCATGACGTCGGGGGTCTAGGTATATAAATGAACGCCCCAGCCTCCCAAGCTATGGGGGCGCTGGAGCGTCTATGTGCACATAGCTCCTTCTTCAAGATGGGTGGCTCCGTGGCCGACCGAGCAACGTGGTGTACACCTCGAGCCCCTCCGGATGGCTCTCGCCCAACCCTCGAGAGGAACAAGTCGTATCCGTCTTCCTTTCGGTCGGGCATGACCTCCTACAGCCTACAGGCGGATTCTGGGCGAAAATGAAGATGCAGTCAAAAAGTACACATATCTATCTATCCATCGATCTATATAAATATATAAATAAAAAGCATGTCGAAACATCGTCCCCAGACTATGTGTTTGACTATGGTTGAATATTCCTACTGTAGAGGGACAGGCCCGAGTTCGTCCTCCTCCCGCCGAGGCCCCGTCCTGGAGACTCGGCCCCGTCCTGGCGCGGCGCTCCGTGGCCCTGCTTCCGGCCTCGCCCTCTCTGGAGGCGACCGCCCCGTCTCTCGGCGGGGCGGCTGCGAGACTGCGCCGGCGCGCGCGCGCTCGGTTGGAAGGCTGCCCTGGAATACTCGCGAAATCCCTTTGAATAGTCGACCCCCCTCCCCTGAAAAAACGACCCCCCCCTTCCACGTTGACCTCACCTCTTCTGGACCCCCCCCCCCTGTCAACGGGGGGAATGACTATGCCCGACCCGCTCGTCTTCGGTTTAAGGAGAGCGCCCTAATCAACCGGACCCCCCCGCTTCCAAAAAAGGCGCCTTGAAAAACCGAACCCAGAGGACGATTGTTAAGGGACTTGGAGAAGGCGGCGCCAGGGCTGTGTTGCGGCGCCGTGTAGAAGGGGATATCCGAGTAGCACAGGCAAACGCGCTGCAAAGTCCAAGACGCCGAGTGAGGATCGCGTGATGGGTCCTGCGTAACGCTGCGCCTTGGTGTGTCCCCTTTCCTGTGCACTGCCTGTGCTCCCCAATTCCCCCGAAGACGACGTCAAATAAACTCTTACCTCCGAGTCCTGCCCAGCCTCAAAGCCTGCCGTGAAATGCACCATGGGGTGGCGGCCAGGAAAGACGATGTACGACAATGAACTTTGGGCGAGACTGCCTCCTCCTGTCCTCCTCCTCCTCCTCCTCCTCCTCCTCCTCCTCCTCCTCTTCTGTCCACCCTGCCCATACTTCCGCTTCTCCTACTCTGTCCACTCTGTGCACTCCGTTTACCACTCTAGCCGTTGCTGCTGCTCCTCCTACTTGTTTCCTCGACTGGTACTACTCCCCTCCGTCCTATGGGTCGTCGTCGTCGTCATTCCTTTGCTTCCTCATTCTCACCCTCCTCCTCCTACTACTCCTCCTCCTCCTCCTCCTCCTCGTCCTCCTATGCTCGACCCTCCCTCCCTCTTTGTGTTGTTATCTTTCTCTCTCTCTCTCTCTCTCTCTCCCGCCACCCGCTCTCTATCTCTCCGCACCATCCTCCTCAAATCATTCATCCTCAATCCCTCAATCTGACCCCGGATGTACCAGCCCCGTCCTAACTTTCACCGCCATCATGACTACCAGATTCAGTGTCAAACAGGTGTATCTGATCTGGATATGCCTTGATGCATCTGGTGCTGAACCGGATTGGGCCGACTTGGGTCGGCGTGTCGGGCTTACCCCCCGCAAGTCGATTTGAGAAGAGTCCGCCGACCCCTCGTGGGTTTCTAAGCGTGTGAGGTGTTCCCCCCCTACTGCCCCCCCCCCCCTCTGGAACCCTACACAGAACGTT